CTCTGTAAAACGTGAAATTAGAGATGATCATTGGTATTGCATGCATACTATGGAACTGTGGCTGATCCCAGTAGCGGCGGAACACCCTAAATTAACCCTCGCCGGCACAGGCCATTTTGCGTCCTTCGACGGCACAAGGGGGAGGGGGGCTGGTACGACCCCCCCTCGCGTTTGGCCCCTGATCGAGCTAGAGCTTCGCGGAAAACAACGAGCGTGTTGCCCGTCACGAGAGGAAGCCGATGATACCCAATTTTAAGGTCCTAGGTCATCGGGGTCCTAGGTCAACCATAACAATTTATCGATTCTTTCCATGCATCGTCCATAGGCGTAATGTTAAAATCATGCCGTTTGGGGGGGAAAATGCCAATTTTGCCCCCCCCCCCCTGGATCCGCCACTGGGTGACCTTCCAGGTCAGGTCAATGACCCGAAAACCGGGAAAATCGGGACCTGTTAGAAAGTCGTAAAGTGTGGCTGCTATGGGGTTGTCCGGGGTGCTGATCACGAATATCGTGTTAGTTTTGATCAGAGATGATGTCTTTAAGCATTTAGACCAGGTCGGGTCCGGTCAGGTCAGGTCAACCGGCAGAGGTTGTGACGGGTATTCGTAATACGTGTCAACCGCCTCTGACAGCTTCGTAAAATGTTACGAAGGCACCAAAACTACTTCGTAAATGTTCAAATGGCTGCTAAATTCGATTTCAGGTTCAAAAACTAGCCTAGAAACATGTAAAACTCGAAAAAGTGAACCGAGGTCACCCGAGGTCACCAAAGGTCAACGACCTGACCTGACCTTCAGATGACCTTGAAACCCAATCTAATGTATGGGAGCAACATCAAATCACATGTTTGAACGTTTGAAACCACGAAAAGCTTGCAAACGCGCGGCTAATGCGAGCCAAAATACGCCAAATCGCGATTCCGGCCAAACTTGGTCTTGGAAAAGAGGTCACAGGTCAAAGGTCATTTAGGTCAGGGTCATGAAATTTTCAGGGTTGGTGCAAAATTGATCAATGCGATGGTACTAAAAGTTTCGTCGCGATCGGCCGCTTTTTACGCGAGTTATTCGCGAAAAACCTTAGGGGGGGTTGCATCACCCCCCCCCCCCCTGTGCCGCCGAGGGTTAAGGGGGGGGGGGGGGGCACTCCCGACTTTTGGGCCCATTCTTTCCATGCAACGCCCATAGGGCTAATGTTAAAACTCCCAAATCAAAGGGGGGCACGGTGCCCCGGTGCCCTCCCCGTTCCGCCGCCTATGGCTGATCCGGAGTGTGTCTTTACGCACCACACTTAGGGGAAAGTGGGTGTATTGCGCCCTCCTAACCAATTGCGCCCACCAACATTCCCACGATTTCAATGGCATGTTTATAATTTTGTGTTCGAAAACAATATTTTCACCACCTGATAGTTCATTTTATGGCCCAAGCTCTCCGACGAAGGCAATCAGCAGGGCTCAGTTACGCCATCAAAGATATTACGGCGTTTTCTGAGCTTTTTTGCAGTATTTTGAACCGTTGGCTATAAAAATCTGTGATACGTGTGTGATTTTCAGAGTGGTATTTAGAAAGAAAGCCCATTTTTTCATTATATTTCACTTAAACAGTAAACTACCTTCAGCATATTTATGACAACTTCTACGCTTTTATTAAAAAGTACCTCAATTCTAATTGCGCCCATGGCAATTGCGCCATGGGGGCGCAAATAGAATAATGGTGTAGCTATTGTATCACGACAGTATGAATGCACCATTATCTGATTGCAATAAAGAAGGAGTTTAATGCCAGGCAGGGGAGCAGCCCGCTGTCGCCAGTCCGCAAATTATTTCTCTCGTCAAACTTATAATGCAGCTGCCATTTAGGTTGCCAACTTGTGGTGTAATTGACAAAATACGGCATTTTCAATATGGACTCGGGCGTGAGAGGTGACAGCTATGATCAAAAAGTAAAAACTGATGTCAACAAGTTGTCGAAACGATAAAAATTAATAATTTTGAGAGAAACGATTGAAAATTTAACCATACTTTCACATATATCTAGTCTGTTACATAAAACGTTTTCGTTGCACTTTTACAAACATACGGACACATGTAAAGTTATTTACCTGGGCAAAAAACATCGCTATTTATACCTACATTTATTATTTATCCAGCCTGATTAACATTATACAGGGTGGACCAAAAAGGATGGAAACATTTTGAACTCGCATAAAACATGCAGTATTGCATGCATGTGACTGGAAATGGTACCAAACGAGAGTACATTTCGTGGAAATTCATAACGGCATCACTCTCATCTGCTTTCTCTCGTTTTCAGTCTCTCACAGCAAATGTTCGAAGAGACTACTTTCGCGAGACAGGCACAGAGCGGCCGGTCTGGTGGCTGACGCGATAGCCCGACGACACATGTTCGCTGGTATGGCTCACACAGTCTTGGTGATCGCTCTCTTCAGATCACAGAGACCTTCCTTGTAGACCTGGCCCTTGAGATGAGATGATAAAGAAGTCACTGCACAGCAGCAAGGTCACCGAAATGGTGTGCCCTCAGCGGAAAAGGAATTGTGGGTCCACCTTTGTTCGAGGAAGGGAGCGGCGACACTGTGACCGTCAATCAACAGCGCATACCAGGCGGCGCCGAGAAAGTTCTGAGAGCGAGTCCAAACGAAGCATGGCAGCCTCATCATAGACCTTATGTGGTTCCAGCGAGACGGTGCGCCTCCTCACATCGCAAAAACAACGCTCAAGTGCATCGAAAACCACTTCGGTGACCGGCTGATATCCCGCGGTGCCAGTCGGAACTGGCCTACCTACTCATCCGACCTGACCCCTATGGATGTTTTACTGTGGGGTCATCTCAGGGACCAGGTCTACAAGGATGGTTCAGAAAGCCTCTGAACTGAAGAGAGCGATCAGCAAGGCTGTGTGAGCCATACAAGCGGGCTATCGTGTCAGCAGCCAGGCTGATCGCTCTGTGCCTGTCTGGCGAAGGTGGTCATTTCGAACATCTGCTGTGAGAGACTGAAAACGAGAGAAAGCATATGAGAGTGATGCCATTATGAATGTCCACGAAATGTACTCTTGTTTGGTATCATTCCCAGTCACATGCATGCAATGATACATGTTTTATACGAGTTTAAAATGTTTCCATCCTTTTTGGTCCACCCTGTAAATGTTTAAGTAAGCCGCAATGACATTACACTGCCGGGGTGTATGCATTCCGTCTCATTCGCTTAGCCATGTTTAAAGGGACCCTCCCACCTTAACATTAGTTTTGAGTTGAGATAGCCAAGTTTGCGGCCAGGCTCAGAAACCACCATTTATCCTGGTCGTAACCCCCGCAGCTTTATGGTGTTCAAGAAATTTCTTCCCTTTACTTGCAGGGTGGGACCAGCGTGGTCCCTATCTCTTAACCATTACGGGAATCTGATGACGTCATCAGGCTTTCGAGCGTCCGTTAAATGTTTGACTAAGACGTTTTGTAGCACGCGGTGGTATATGCTGCTTTGCGCGCAACAAATGCCGCACTTTCAAATAAAGTCGCTAGGAACAGCGGAGATCCCAAAAAGTAAACAAAAGTAAAAGTCTAATATCTTGAAAACCGGTGAATATTTTTCGATGAAATTTGGTAGATATTCGTTTTTGCTCTTTCTGAACCGAGCGACATCACTTTCATGCCAATTCATTAACTTTTTTGAAGGTGGGAGGGTCCCTTTAACCCTCGCCGGACCTATTGGTTTTCTACATACGCGCCGGCCGAGGGGGGGGGGGCGGGTACGACCCCCCCCCCTCGCCGTTTCGCCCCTGGTGGAGCTAGCGCGTCGCGGAAAAAACGAGCGTGTGCGCCGTTACGAGACGCAGAGATTGGTACCCGATTTTAAGGTCCTAGGTCAACCGGTGACCTCTGAGGTCAGGTCAAGTGCCCCAAGGTACGGTTCAGTTTTTGGTGAATAACTTCGCAAAAAACGGCCGCAGAGCCGCGATTTTGGCAGCATCGTGTTCGCCTTGCTCAGGCGCGTCGAATGATATACTTTTTGTTCGGGTCAGGTCAACTTAGGGTGTTGACCTCAGGTCAAGGTCAGGTCAGCACCCCCAGGTCACGAAGTTGGTCGAAAGAGGTCATGTCGCATATCATTCGATTCGGCAGGTCTTTCTGAGTCCATTGGTGGCTTTCCCGACTCGCTAGCTCAATTTGATCGGGAGTTATTGACGAAAAACTAATATGACCTTGATGACGTCATAAATGACGTCACGGAAGGTCAATATTGCAAAAGTGACGCATCTAACCTTGCAAGGAGTGCATCAAATCACGATTCTGTGTGCTTGAGATAGTTGGAGATCGTTTCCGGCGCCAGAATAGCAGTTTGAATTTTTCCCCATTGACTTATAATGGCCAGGTCACGAAAATGACCTGACCTCATATGACCTTTAGGAAAAATCCGAGATATACAAATTGTGAGACTCATAATGGATACTAGATCCTGCAAGTTTCATTTCCCTGTGACATCTCCTCTGGCAGTGAGGGCGTTGCGAAGTTGCGACATCTGAAGACCGTGCAGAGGTTCACTTATGACGTCATAGGTCAGTGACCTGACCTGACCCAAAAATGCGGTTGGTGTCAAAAGATGCGGCTTGGATCAAAGGTCAGGTATGCCAAGTTTCAGCTCTCTATCGACAGCGTGTTCGGAGCTATCGCGAAAAAACCCTATGGGGGGGCGGCACCCGCCCCCCCCCCCCTCGGCCGGCGAGGGTTAAGTATAGGGCGCAATTGGATTCTAATTGCGCCATCCCCCTGGCGCAATTTACAGCAGTTGTCGGTAAATGCGCCCTTTTGCATGTTTCTGAAAAGCAGCTGTCGGAAGCACACGAAACATTCTTAATTGATCGGGAGGCTCTTAAATCGTAGCTAATGAGTTCCTCTTTGAAGTGGTTACCAGTGCATGCTTATATCTCCAGCGGTTTTCTTACAATTAGCGTTTTTTCCTTAAGGTGGCGCAATTCACCCTCCTTCCCCTAAGTGTCAAGACACTTATAATTCAATGGCGTAGAAGTGGTTTGGTGTAAAATTAGATAGAAATTCAGAAATAAATAATATTTTGAAAAAAAATAAACAAACATTAAAAATAAATTCAGAAGAAACAAACGATAGTTGCTTAAAGGGACTATCCCACCTTCTAAAATGTTGTTAAAACCAGTTAAATTGTGCCCGACTTTATAGATTGGATGACCAGGAACACGGTTCTGGCATTTATTTTTCATTAAACATCTTAGGCTTCCCATATTCCAAACACAAACTTTCAAATATGTGACGTCACAGCCCAAAATTATCTCCTTCCCCCAGGCCACATTACTGTCATAAAGCTGATTCTTTTTACTCTGTAGGCACCACAACAAAGTTCAGACCAAGTTTTAAGCGATTTTTCAACGAACAAACCCATTTAAATCAGAATGACTAAACGAGGTGACGTCACACTAACGGTCGCTCCATGTTGAAGATAGGGCCTTGTACAAGGCTCATTTTAAAATGAAAGGAACGAATTTCTTCAACACCAAGAGGCCGCGGGGGTTGCAACCTAGATAGATAGTGGTTTCTGAACCTCGCCGCAAACTTGGCTATCTCAACTCAAATCCCATGTTAAAGGTGGGATAGTCCCTTTAACCCGCGCGGCGCGCACCGACGGGGGTCTGCGCCAACTTCGTACTGATGGGGGGGGGCGGATGACCGCCCCCTCCCCCTGAGATCTCCAGAACGAAGCAAGATAGCGACAAGCGGTAAACGGCATGAGGTGCGCACGGACAAGGTCTACAATTTTTATGTAGGTCGTTTTCGGGTCAGATCAAAGATGACGTCACAGGGGTCACAAAAGTCAAAATGGCGGCGCTAGCTATGGATAAAGTTTTTCTCCAATAACTTTCGAATTGGTCAAGCTAGGAACAAACTAAGGGCATCGTCGTGATCCTCTCGTCAATCCGCATCGAATCATATATATGTTGACCTCTAAAGGTCAAGGTCAAAGGTTGAACTCAGGCCACGTGACCTCGAGGTCATTATGTATATCATTCGATTTGCCTTGACGAGCTGAACACAATGAGATCATCCGCGCGGCTGTATCTTGTTCCTGTAAGGAGTTATTGGCAAAAAAACTTCGGTGACCTTTGATGACGTCACATGACCTTACAGCTGGCCAACAGCAAAACAGACCTCAAGGTAGTGAAGGTTGATCATATAGAAAGTCATGTATGGTATATGGGGCCATTCCGACGCGTTTTAGTGGTAAAAACAGGGAGTTGATTTTCCCCCCATTGACTTATAATGGGGAGGTCGAGAAATTGACCTGACCTTAGGTCATCGATATCAAAATTCCGAGATTTACAAATTGTAGCTACAAATGACCTAAGAACATCCTGCGACTTTAAAAGGCCTCCGTCATCTACTGTAGCTCTGACACGGTGACAAAGTTGCAAAAAGGTGACTTGAGGTTGGGTCATTTGAAGTGACCTGGTGACCTGACCTCGAAAGTTAGGAGGTTCAAACTTGCACACCATGTGTAAAATTGACGAGCAAATAGTCGTACTAAATTTCACAGCGCTACGCTCCGCGGTTTTCCCGCTATTCACGAAAAACCTCAGGGGGGGCGGATAACCGCCCCCCCCCCCCGTCGGTGCGCGGGTTAAACAATATTCGAAGTTACGAAGAACTTCGAATACAAAGAGCCCCTCACCATTTATTTTCGTAAATATCTAGGGGTGCCGTATACACAAAAATCTTACCTGATGAGCTTGAAGCAGGCTCCAGTACACTCTTGGCATATGTGACTGAGGAGGAAACATTTGTTAACTGCAGTTTGTTCATAATCAGTGGACTAAAATGCTGAGGGACGTTTGTCGGATATCTGTCATACGTAAAAGACAAATGGCGAATTAAAAGTATATGTATAATATATATATATTTATTTATTTATTTATTTATTTATTTATATAATCATTCATACAATAATCCAGGACTGATTATTGGGACAATTACAGGGACACTAAAACATAATGCCTAGTCTTACCATTACCTTCCACTGGGTTTGACGAAACCTCCGGCTGACTTCCCGGCTGCGCCTCTGGCTGTTCCTCTGACTGAACCGCAGGCTGCTCCTCTGACTGCTCCTCTGGCTGAGATTCTGGTTGAGCCTTCGGCTGTGCCTGTAATTGAGCCTCTGGCTGTTCTTCTGACTGGGATTCTGGTTGAGTCTCTGGCTCTGTATCCAGTTGACCCTCTGGCTGAGCCTCAGGCTGCTTCTCTGTCAGCTTCTCTGGCTGAGATTCTGGCTGAGTTTCCGGCTGGGCCTCTGGTTGAACCTCTGGCTGTTCCTCCGGCTGGGCCTCTGGCTGAGCCTCTGGCTGTGCCTCTGGTTGGGGTTCCGGCTGTTCCTCGGGCTGAGCCTCTGGCTGCTTCTCTGTCTGCTCCTCAAGATGAGATTCTGGCTGAGTTTCCGGCTGTGCCTCTTGTTGAACCTCTGTCTGTTCCTCAGGCTGTGCCTCTGGTTGTTCTTCTGGTTGAGATTCTGGCTGAACCTCAGGCTCAGCCTCTGGCTGCGCTTCCGGTTGGGCTTCCGGCTGCGTCTCCGGTTGGACCTCTGGCTGTTCCTCAGGCTCCGTTTCTGGCTGCTCCTCTTGCTGAGATTCTGGTAGAGTCTCTGGCTCGGCATCTGGCTGGGCCTCTGGCTGGGCATCTGGTTGGGCTTCCGGCTGTTCCTCTGGCTGAGCCTCTGGCTGCTTCTCTGTCTGCTCATCTGACTGGGATTCTAGTTGAGTCTCCGGCTGTGCCTCTTGTTGAACCTCTGGCTGTTCCTCAGGCTGTGCCTCTGGTTGTTCCTCTGGTTGAGATTCTGGCTGAACTTCAGGCTCAGCCTTTGGCTGCGCTTCCGGTTGAGCCTCTGGCTGTTCCTCAGGCTCCGCTTCTGGCTGCTCCTTTTGCTGAGATTCTGGTAGAGTCTCTGGCTCGGCATCTGGCTGGGCCTCTGGCTGAGCCTCTGGCTGAGCCTCTGGCTGAGCCTCTGGCTGTGCCTGCGGTTGGGCTTCCGGCTGTTCCTCGGGCTGAGCCTCTGGCTGCTTCTCTAGCTGAGCCTCCGGCCGTGTCTCCGGTTGGGTCTCTGGCTGTTTCTCAGGCTCAGCTTCTGGCTGCTCCTCTTGCTGAGATTCTGGTAGAGTCTCTGGCTCGGCATCTGGCTGGGCCTCTGGCTGAGCCTCTGGCGCGACATCTGGTTGGGCTTCCGGCTGTTCCTCTGATTGAGCCTCTGACTGCTCCTCTGGCTGCTTCTCTAGCTGAGCCTCTGGCTGCGTCTCCGGCTGGGCCTGTGGCTGTTCCTCAGGTTGCGCCTCTGGCTGCTCTTCTTGCTGAGATTCTGGCTGGGTCTTTGGCTCGGCATCTGGCTGGGCCTCTGGCTGAGCCTCTGGCTGGGCATCTGGCTTGGTTTCCGGCTGTTCAGTTGGCTGCTCCTCTGTCTGCTCCTCTGGCCGAGATTCTGGCTGATTATCCGGCTGTGCCTCTGGTTGATCCTCTGTCTGTTCCTCAGGCTGCGCCTCTGGCTGCTCCTCAGGCTCCACTTCTGGCTGCTCCTCTTTCTGAGATTCTTGCGTCTCTGACACGGCATTTGGTTGGGCCTCTGGCTGAGGCTCTGGTTGTGCCTCCGGTTGGGGTTCTGGCTGTTCCTCTGGCTGAGCCTCAGGCTGCTTCTCTGTCTGATCCTCTGGCCGAGATTCTGGCTGAGTCTCCGGCTGGGCCTCTGTTTGATCATCTGGCTGTTCCTCAGGTTGTGCCTCTGGTTGCTCCTCTGGTTGAGATTCTGATTGAACCTTTGGCTCAGCCTCTGGCTCCGCTTCCGGTTGGACTTCCGGTTGCGTCTCCGGCTGGGCCTCTGGCTGTTCCTCAGGCTCCGCTTCTGGCTGCTCCTCTTGCTGAGATTCTGGTAGAGTCTCTGGCTTGGCATCTGGCTGGGCCGCTGACTGGGCATCTGGCTGGGCCTCTGGCTGAGCCTCTGGCTGTGCCTCTGGTTGTGCCTCCGGTTGGGCATTCGGCTGTTCCTCGGGCTGAGCCTCTGGCTGCGTCTCCGGTTGGGCCTCCGTCTTTTCCTCAGGCTCCGTTTCTGGCTTCTCCTCTTGCGGAGATTCTGGTAGAGGCTTTGGCTCGGCATCTGGATGAGCCTCTGGCTGAGCCTCTGGCTGGGCATCTGGTTGGGCTTCCGGCTGTTCCTCAGGTTGTGCCTCTGGCTGTTCCTCCGGCTGGGTCTCTGGCTGAGTATCTGGCTGTGCCTCCGGTTGGGGTTCCGGCTGCTCCTCGGTCTGAGCCTCTGGCTGCTCCTCTAGCTGAGCCTCTGGCTGCGTCTCCGGTTGGGTCTCTGGCTGCTCCTCTTGCTGAGATTCTGGTTGAGTCTCGGGCTCGGCATCTGGCTCAGCCTCTGGCTGCGCCTCCGGTTGGGAATCTGGCTGCTCCTCTTGCTGAGATTCTGGTTGAGTCTCGGGCTCGGCATCTGGCTGAGCCTCTGGCTGCGCCTCCGGTTGGGAATCTGACTGCTCCTCTTGCTGAGATTCTGGTTGAGTCTCGGGCTCGGCATCTGGCTGAGCCTCTGGCTGCGCCTCCGGTTGGGCATCTGGCTGCTCCTCTTGCTGAGATTCTGGTTGAGTCTCGGGCTCGGCATCTGGCTGGGCCCCTGGCTGTGCCTCCGGCTGTTGCTGAGGCTGGGCCTCTGGCTGCGCCTCTAATTCCGTCTCTGGCTCCACCTTCGGCTCGGCATCTGGTTGAGCCTCTGGCTGTTCCCCTGGCTGAGTTTCTGACTGCGACTCCGGTCGTGAATCTGGCTGTTCTTCAGGCCTCGCCTCTGGCTGTTGCTCTGGCTGAGATTCTGGTTGAGTCTCCACCTTGGTATCTGGTTGAGCTTCTGGCTGAGCATCCGGCTGTTCCTCAGACGCCACTTCCGGCCGGATCTCTGGCTGGGCTTCTTGCTGGGTCTCTGACTTAGCCTCTGGTTGGATCTCTGACTGAGCCTGCGGTTGGACCTCTGGCCGTTCCTCCGGCAGATCCTCCGGTTGGGTGTCTGGCTGTTCCTCAGGCTGCGCCTCTGGCTGAGAATCTGGCTGAGTCTCTGGCTGTACCTCCGACTGAATCTCAGGCTCGGTCTGTGGCTGAGCGTCCGGCTGGGCCTCTAGCAAATCTTCCGGTTGGGCCTCTGGCTGCTCCTCAGGTTTAGCCTGTTCCTCAGGCTGAACATCTGGCTGAGCCTCTGGCTGAGTCTCTGGCTCGGTCTCCTGCTGAGCCTCTGGCTGCGCCTCCGGCTGCTCTGGCTGAGCCTCCGGTTGTTCCTCAGGCTGCACCTCTGACTGAGCATCTGGTTGAGTCTCTGGCTGAGCCTCCGGCTGTGCCTCTGGCTGAGTGTCTGACTGTGACTCTTCCTCTTGCGGAGTATCCAGCTGTTGTTCAGGCTGAGGTTCTGGTTCCAGAAGGCTCTTTGATAGGGACTTTCCCGGATCCTCGGGCTGGTCTTCACTTCCCGCCTGATTGTCTTCGGGCTGATCTGTCTCACTTGCTGGTTGAAGTTCCGGTCGCTTTTTATCATCAGAAATGCCTGTGAACAAAATTCTCAGATCACTTGATGCCAGACCAATTGATGCAAAGTAATGGTATTATCATAATATTGAAGTAAAAGTGGTGAAAGAAATAAATCTATTGAAGCATTAGTTAAATCTTAAAGCTATTGAACCGTAAAGATACTTAGTTCTTAATTTAACTCGTTCGTGGTCTCATAATTGATGTTTTCCTAAGTTCTCATTCTTCACAGGTAACCGTCGAAGGACCTCGACAGGTGACGGGATAAAATTATATGGGGAAGATAAGGATATCACGTTAAACGAGGGTGAATATTCTTGCAAGCCACGTTTTTCAAACTTATATCAAATTTGAACCTTGTTTGGGCATTTGTTTATTTTTTAGATGCTTTGTTTTGTAGAGTGTTTGCATGATTTTCTGTTTCACGGTGCTGGCAATTCTTACCTCACCCGTGCTGCTTTGCAAAGACGATAGATGCCTCCTTCCTGTTCGTCTTCATCGAATTTAAACACGATTACGGTGCCTACAAGAACCTTGAAACAAGCCATCAAATGAATTTTTTTCAGCTAAAATTAAATGTCACTTAGTAGGAAGGGTAAGTGCACTTCACATAGAACATTATACCTAGTCTCTAATATGTCCACGGTTAATGTATCTTTTCATTTTAAAACCAGTAAAGCGCCTTTTGGGCGAAGAACGAGCGAGCGAGATAGTGAGCCCTGCACGTGCGGAAGGGCGAGAGGGTGCTTCCAACGGGCTTGCGCAAAGCACCCTTCTAACTGGTCGCTAGCGGTGTGCCAAATTTGAACGCAATCGGCCCAGCCGTTCCTGAGATCTGGAAGCGGCATTCTGCACGTGCGCACGTGCAAACGGGGTCCAAAATGACTTTTGCACGGCATCCTACTAACTGGTCCCCAGCCGTGTACCAAATTTGAGCGTAATCGGCCCAGCCGTTCTCGAGATCTGGAAACGTCCCCTGCACGTGCGCACGTGCAGTAGCACCCTAACCGCAACACATGGGAATGCATTGCCTGGTGGGTGCCTACCTGTATGCCAAGTTTCAGCGAAATCTCCCCAGTAATTACCGAGTTACTGAAATGGGAACAAATTTGGCACCTCTTATTGTTGTATTTTGCACGTGCACTGGGGATGACCCACATGCATCGAGAGTATCCTATTTTGGGTAGAAGGGATGCTGCTACTCTACTAAAATTACCGCAAGTCAATCGCCCAAGCGGCTGCTGAGATATGAGCCTCTCAAAATCACTACTTTTGCAAAACAGCTTGAACACCCTTGACTTTTCACGTGGCACGTGCCACGACGGTCACTGAGATGTATCAAAAGTAGTCAATTACGGGGTAGAAGGGATGGGGCTACCCAACAAAAAAGACCGCAGGCCAATCGGTCCAGCGGTTGCTGAGATATAAGCCTCTCAAAAGCGTTACAGGCCGGGCCGGGCCGGGCCGCTCATACTGAGATTTTTCCGTTATATTGAAAAGACTCACTTCGCTCGCTGCGCTCGCTCGCTCGTAATCAGATCTACCCTCCCTTTGATGTCACTGCTCTTCAAAGTAAAATGAAGATAAAACTTGAGCATTGAACCTAAAAGTTAGTTTTGATTAGTGTATCACAAAGGTATTTGACAGAAAATTTATCATTTCTTTCGTATAACGGCAAATAAGAATCGTTGTATACTTCATGTTTGAAATGTTCATTTGAATGATTGGAAATAATTCGATTGGATTTTAATGCTAATTCAAAGAACTTTGCAAATATGAAGTAGAATTTCCCGTCAAGAACTTCCTTGTGATAAGCTTAGACGTTTAGGTCCAATGCTCAGTTTAATCCTCATTTTACTATAAATGGCAGTGACATAAAAAGTACGGTACCTACATACAATTGTAAAATGAAGCGATACCATAACCGCGGAAATATTGAAGACTAGATTTAATATGCTATGTGAAGTGCATTTACCCATTCTTCTCGATGAAAATGTATTTTCCCCGAAAGGAAAGCCATTTGATGGCTTGTTTCAAGGTTCCTGTAGGCACCGTAATCGTGTTTAATTCGATGAAGACGGCAGGAAGAAGGTATCTATCGTCTTTGCAGAGCAGCACGGGTGAAGTAAGAATTGCCAGCACCGTCAAACAGAAAATCATACAAACACTCTGCAAAACAAAGCATCATAAAGGAAATAAAAAACTCAAACATGGTTTAGATTTGATATAAGTTTAAAAAATGTGGCATGCAATAATGCTCGCCCTCGTTTAACGTGATATCCCAATCGTTCCTAGACAATTTTTCGCCACCAGCCTAGATACTTCGATGGCGTCCTTTGAACAAGTCACAAAACCCTCGCCGGCACAGGCCATTTTGCGTCCTTCGACGGCAGAAAGGGGGGGGGGTTGGTACGACCCCCCTCGCGTTTGGCCCCTGATCGAGCTAGAGCTTTGCGGAAAAACGAGCGTGTTGCCCGTCACAAGAGGAAGCCGATGATACCCAATTTTAAGGACCTAGGTCATCGGGTGACCTTCCAGGTCAGGTCAATGACCCGAAAACCGGGAAAATCGGGACCTGTTAGAAAGTCGTAAGGTGTGGCTGCTATGTGGTTTTCCGGGGTGCTGATCACGAATACCGTGTTAGTTTTGATCAGAGATGATGTCTTGAAGCATTTAGACCGGGTCGGGTCAGGTCAGGTCAGGTCAACCGGTAGGGGTTGTGACGGGTATTCGTAATACGTGTCAACCGACTCTGACAGCTTCGTAACATGTTACGAAGGCACCAAAACTACTTCGTAAATATTTAAATGGTTGCTAAATTCGAATTCAACTCCAAAAACTAGCCTAGAAACATGTAAAACTCGAAAAAGTGAACCATGGTCACCAGAGGTTACCAAAGGTCAATGACCTGACCTGACCTTCAGGTGACCTTGAAACCCACCATAATGTATGGGAGCAACATCAAATCACATGTTTGAACGTTTGAAACCACGAAAAGCTTGCAAACGCGCGGCTAATGCGAGCCGACATACGCCGAATCGCGATTCCGGCCAAACATGGTCTCGGAAAAGAGGTCACAGGTCAAAGGTCATTTGGGTCAGGGTCATGAAATTTTCAGGGTAGGTGTAAAATTAATCAATGCGAGGGTACTGAAAGTTTCGTCGCGATCCGCCGCTGTTTACGCGAGTTATTTGCGAAAAACCTTAGGAGGGTTTGCATCAACCCCCCCCCCCCTGTGCCGGCGAGGGTTTAAAAACATCGATTATGGTATCACGATATAATTTAAATGCAAAGCAGTTTTACTTTTAAGGTATTTTCGTAAGATTGAAATGGTGCTTTAATAGTTTTATAGATATTTCTTAGTAGGTATATAAAGATAAACGTACTGTTAATAACCATTGATTTGCTCAACGTGATGACCTTCAACGGATTATCTCCAGCTTCCGTTGCTGATAACTTCTCTTGTTCTTCAGGTATATCACCGTCTTCCAAATAGAAGTATTTGCTGAAAGGCAATTACCACTCTTATCGACGTTTTGGATGTAACGTGACCACCAGTTTGGTTGATACGGGTGTAACAATATTATGGTAACCGATTAATATTTTAATTTGTCAGACTAAATGAATAATTTCCAAAATTTGGACATTGGGTGGATACATTGAAAATATATGTAGATTATGAGAAAATATTCTTTGTTGTGATTTCTATGTAAAAAAAACTCGACATTTTCAGTAATAAGTTCAGTAATAAGACATTTTTAGTAAGCACAAATGGCAACAAAACATTCCTTGTCTGATGATGTCCTGTGGGCGAACATTCACTTACTCAAATGCATCACTTTCGACCTTTTACTTTTCTATATTCGAGGAAAACATAACTAGACATCTTTTACGGTCACTCACCCATCTTTTTCGATGATGTTATATATTCTGTGATGCAGTGCCCATCTGATAACTGTTCTCAAATTATTATAAGGCAGCAACACTGTGTTCAGCGTTAACGAAGACGGCAAGTAGGAGATTGGGAGCGTCTCTGTAAAGTAAAACAAAAATGTTACCAGAAATGCGGAATGCACACTGCACTGAAAAATAGCAAAGTGCGGAAACAAAGCAGACACAGCCATGTGCAATATGTGCCTCGACGTTCCTAGATCTACGCGAAATTTTTTTGTAAAAGGTGCTCACTTTCATCAACGCTGATGTCAACCTCATCACCAGACGGTCCTCTTCGTCGCCTGGAACCTACGGATATAAAAAAAAAGGTGAGGCGTCAGATACAACGGATCTGCAAAACAGCAAATGGCATTACAAAACAATAACCAAATAAATCTAGTGTACCAAACAAATACACAGAAGCAAGCACAGAAGAAACAGGATGAATACGCAAACACCCTGACCAATTCAATTCAATTCAATTCAATTCCAAAAGATCATCTACTTACGCCTCGTACGTATGAACACCATCGACTTGTTGATAGTGATGACCTTCAGCGGATTGTCTCCAGCTTCGGTTGGAGATGATTTTAACTGATCATCCGGCACGCTGTCGTCTTCGAGGAAATAATATTGGCTGAAAGTCAAACACGAGTTTTATTAATATTTGCAGTGTCATTGGCATGGTGCAATATAAGGTGCAATATAAAAACAGTGCGGTACTAATTAAAAACGCAGACAAAAAAATGCAGAACATGATCCATAGTCTGCAGAATTGTCGCAAAATATAAAATGAATCACGGAAATGCTCCAAACGATTAGCATTGCCTCTGTGATGCCCTTACCCATTCTTCTCGATGACGATGTATTTTCCTCTGCGTAGTACCCATCTGAGAGCTTTCCTCAAGTTGCCTTTGGGTACCGAATTCATGTTCAGTTTCAAGGAAGATGGCAGATAGGAGATTTTCAGCATATCTGCAAAAGAAGGCAGATGCGACGGTGATCAAACAGTGAATAGGTACACTGAACAACGAACATGGACAAAGTAAGCACCTAAGTTACGCAGCCATACGCATCTGCAGTATATTTGTTTATGCTCTTATAGATCGATGCAAAAAAGGCTGCAAGAATGTGCTCACTTTTATCAACGCTGTCAACCTCATCACCAGACGGTCCTCTTCGTCGCCTGGAACCTACGGATATAAAAATAAAGGGCGAGGCGTCAGATACAATGGATCGGCAGAACAGCAAATGGCATAACAAAACAATAACCAAATAAATCTAGTGTACCAAACAAATACACAGAAGCAAGCACAGAAGAAACAGGATGAATACGCAAACACCTTGACCAAAAGATCATCTACTTACGCTTTGTACGTTTGGACACGATCGACTTGTTGATCGTGATGACCTTCAGCGGATTGTCTCCAGCTTCCGCTGGAGATGATTTTAACTGATCATCCGGCACGCTGTCGTCTTCGAGGAAATAATATTGGCTGAAAGTCAAACACGAGTTTTATTAATATTTGCAGTGTCATTGGCATGGTGCAATATAAGGTGCAATATAAAAACAGTGCGGTACTAATTAAAAACAAAGACAAAAAAATGCAGAACATGATCCATAGTCTGCAGAATTGTCGCAAAATATAAAATGAATCACGGAAATGCTCCAAACGATTAGCATTGCTTCTGTGATGCCCTTACCCATTCTTCTCGATGACGATGTATTTTCCTCTGCGTAGTACCCATCTGAGAGCTTTCCTCAAGTTGCCTTTGGGTACCGAATTCATGTTCAGTTTCAAGGAAGATGGCAGATAGGAGATTTTCAGCATATCTGCAAAAGAAGGCAGATGCGGCGGTGATCAAACAGTGAATAGGTACACTGAACAACGAACGTGGACAAAGTAAGTACCTAAGTTACGCAGCCATACGCATCCGCAGTATATTTGTTTATGCTCTTATAGATCGATACAAAAAAAGGCTGCAAGAATGTGCTCACTTTTATCAACGCTGTCAACCTCATCACCAGACGGTCCTCTTCGTCGCCTGGAACCTACGGATATAAAAATAAAGGGCGAGGCGTCAGATACAATGGATCTGCAGAACAGCAAATGGCATTACAAAACAATAACCAAATAAATCTAGTGTACCAAACAAATACACAGAAGCAAGCACAGAAGAAACAGGAGGAATACGCAAACACCTTGACCAAAAGATCATCTACTTACGCCTCGTACGTATGAACACCATCGACTTGTTGATCGTGATGACCTTCAGCGGATTGTCTCCAGCTTCCGCTGGAGATGATTTTAACTGATCATCCGGCACGCTGTCGTCTTCGAGGAAATAATATTGGCTGAAAGTCAAACACGAGTTTTATTAATATTTGCAGTGTCATTGTCATGGTGCAATTTAAGGTGCAATATAAAAACAGTGCGGTACTAATTAAAAACAAAGACAAAAAATGCAGAACATGATCCATAGTCTGCAGAATTTTCGGAAAATATAAAATGAATCACGGAAATGCTCCAAACGATTAGCATTGCCTCTGTGATGCCATTACCCATTCTTCTCGATGACGATGTATTTTCCTCTGCGTAGTACCCATCTGAGAGCTTTCCTCAAGTTGCCTTTGGGTACCGAATTCATGTTCAGTTTCAAGGAAGATGGCAGATAGGAGATTTTCAGCATATCTGCAAAAGAAGGCAGATGCGACGGTGATCAAACAGTGAATAGGTACACTGAACAACGAACATGGACAAAGTAAGTACCTAAGTTACGCATCCATACGCATCTGCAGTATATTTGTTTATGCTCTTATAGATCGATGCAAAAAAGGCTGCAAGCATAGGTGTAGCAACGTATCTCTTTGGTGAAGAATACCTTTCACCAAAGTTTTATATTGGTGAAGGATTCTTCACCAATCTTGAACAATGCATGTGAGATTGTTCACCAATACTTAGAACGACTGGGTTCGACGGTTGATCTAATGTTAAAAAAAGGAATAGCAATGCCAAACGGGATGAACAAAAAGGCTAAGACGGTAACAGGCACCCAATTATCCCGTCCTTTCAGTTGCGTTATGCACACCTTCTTCACAATTCACGCCAATTAATAAATGATAGGTAAAGCTGAAAACTATATTGAAGTTGGTGAACGTGTAAGTGTGTCTAAGTAAATACCGTGAATATAAAAATGAATTGGATTGTTTCTACTCGTGGGAAATTTGTAGGACTTCAGTCACGAAAAAAGAGCAGTGGAGCATAACTTAACCCGCGCCCTGCTGGGGGGGGGGGGTGTTTGAACACCCCCCTTGTGGTTTTTCGCGAATATCTCAAAAACAGCGGCGCGGAGCGCCGCCGTTTTTGGTACACCTTATCATACATCAATTCTACACATGTTGTGAAAATTTCAGACCAAGGTCATTCAAGGTCAGGTCACCAGGTCACTTGAAGTGGCCTCACCTCATCAAAAGTTTCAATGTCTGTCATAGCTACACCGAGTGACCGATCGCTTTGAAACTTTCAGCGATTGCTAAGAGCAATAGCATGTACAAAATGTATATCTCAGAATTTTGATATCGATGACCTAAGGTCAGGTCAATTTTGCGACCTCCCCATTATAAGTCAATGGGAGAAAATTGAAATGCGCCTCTTTTGGACGAAAGACATTATAAACACTCCCAAACACTGAATTACAAGTGGTTTAGACACACTGAACATGAAAATGGTGTCCGTGACCCCTGTTTATGCCCTGAGGTCATTTTAGGTCACGAATGGTATCTAACAGTTTTTCGCAAATAACTTTTGATAGAGGCATGCTAGAGCGATGAAAACGTCTTAGATGTGTTCAGCTCGACAATACGGATCGACTGATATGCAGCATGACCCTTTCCGGTCAGGTCATGACCTTGACCTAGGGTCAATTTTTCAAGTTGACCTTTCAAGGTCAAGTTATAGTTCATTCGATGCGTCTTGACAAGAGGAACACGATGCCGGTAAAAGTAAGCTCGTACAAGGCTTGGGTCAAAAGTTATTGCAGAAAAACTGTTTCCGAAAAAATCGGCTATTTTTGCAGTTTTTGCCCCCTGCAGGCAAAACCGTTGACGTTAGGTCAAATCTGATAGAATTACTCAGAAAGGGCGTTAATAGGGCTATCGAATGCGCTTTTCCGCGGCGCTGTAGCTCTATTGGTTCCCGAGTTATGCGTTGGCTTCTTGGAAATTGTCGACATTCGACCTGGAAATCGGCGAAATTTTGCCTTCAATGACCTCTGGTGACCTGACCTTTGACCTGACCAAAAAATTGACCGAAGTGATTTCCTCATTATTTTTGACGCTCTTTCGAGCGCCGCCTTCCGCGTATCGCTACGTGGCCCAGGAGCCGAGTTAGAAGGGGGGGTGTTCAAACACCCCCCCGCAGGGCGTGGAAATCCAGGACCCCCCAGCCGGGCGCGGGTTAAGGCATAAGAGCACCCGTGTGTAGCATCTAGTTAGGTCCCTCAATGGTCCAAAAAGCGGCCCCGTTTACATGACCGGTTTACGTAAATCGCAAAGGAGTTCATGTTCATAAGATATGATTTATGCTGGTCTCTCAAGTAGTATACATCAAGGATTAAGCACTTCATTTTCATTGGCTCCGGCCCTCAGGATCAGACCACCATGGGTAAGTGTGGGAGGCCCGCGTGAGACAGATGGCTGAACCTGCACCCAGATCAGCATAAACCCTTTCAGACAATTATGTAAGCCTTGGCACCAATGTAAATTTAAAGGACAATCCAGGGCCCATAGATTCCGGTGAGAACCTTCAGAGGTTTTCGTCAGCATTGCCAGCCTTTAAATGCCAGTATGGGCCTCCAGGAAGGTACAAGCACGGGGTCGTCAGAGGCCTGAACGAGCCTTTAGAGACCCCAGGAGTCTGGGGTCTGGGGTCCCCAGGAGTTTCGGGTAGGTTATAGGTTTAACATGCGCAGTGGAAGGGTTCCGAGAACTATGCCCAGTGGAAGGTGGCGGCGAATGTCGCCACCCCAAGATCTCAGCTCCTACGGAAGTAAAAAAAAAAAAAAAAAAAAAACGGAGGGTGGTTGGGGACGGCGTGGAATAGTGTTGCCAGTTGCAGAAAATGTATGTCCAATGTCCGTCCAACGTCCGGCAGTTAAGTCGACTCTCCGTCCAAAGATATTCAAGCCAGCCATTTGTCCGAAAGATGTCCGAAAACTACGCAATAATTAACACTGAGCACTGTCATTTAATTTGGTTTTAATGAACTAACTATTACCAGCCCATAAGTATTTTCATATCGAGAGCTGAGCTGAACTTTCTATTCGTCAACCAATGCCAAAAAAAAAAAAAAAATCGGCACGATCACTTAACAGAAATGCTGAGGTGTAGCAAGTGATTGTCCAATGCTGTCCAAAGCGTGCTGCCTTTGTCAACTCAAATTCCGAATTGGACATTGGAGGACAAAAGCGGAATTCCGAAGGTCCAAGCTCCGATTGGCAACTCTATTGTGTGTTAACCCGCGCCGCGCCGGGGCTCCGCGACTTCCGCGCCGGGCCGGGGGGGGGGGTCTGAACACCCCCGTCTAAATCGGCTCCTGGGCCACGTAGCGACACGCGGTAAGCGGCATTCGAAAGAGAGTCAAAAATAATGACGGAAGCACTTCTGTCATTTTTGGGTCAGGTCAAAGCCGGCAGTGAAAATCGGCCGGCAGCGCCCGCGTGCCGGAGGGATTTTTGACTTAACACCCCTGTTACTAAAAAAGAAGTTGCAGGCCGATTTACTCATTGCTTTCATGGCAAGATGCAAAATCCAATGTTAGGCATGTACTGAAAATTTGACGCTAATTAGACGATAATGGCGTGAGATATTTGCGAGAGAAAAAAAAACAGGAGGGCTTGGCGAAATTCGCCCCCCCCCCCCTCCACTGGGGCAAGGTCCTGTACCTTCTCAGAAGGTTCAGGTGAAATCCTTCACCAATATTTTTGGTGCTCCTACACCCATGGCTGCAAGAATGTGCTCACTTTTATCAACGCTGTCAACCTCATCACCAGACGGTCCTCTTCGTCGCCTGGAACCTACGGATATAAAAATAAAGGGCGAGGCGTCAGATACAATGGATCGGCAGAACAGCAAATGGCATTACAAAACAATAACCAAATAAATCTAGTGTACCAAACAAATACACAGAAGCAAGCACAGAAGAAACAGGAGGAATACGCAAACACCCTGACCAAAAGATCATCTACTTCCTCGTACGTTTGAACACCATCGACTTGTTGATCGTGATGACCTTCAGCGGATTGTCTCCAGCTTCCGTTGGAGATGATTTTAACTGATCATCCGGCACGCTGTCGTCTTCGAGGAAATAATATTGGCTGAAAGTCAATACCGATTTTTATCAATGTTTCCAGTGTCATTGTCATGGTGCAATATAAGGTGCAATATAAAAACAGTGCGGTACTAATTAAAAACAAAGACAAAAAAATGTAGAACATAATCCATAGTCTGCAGAATTGTCGCAAAATATACCTAAAATAAATCACGGAAATGCTCCAAACAATTAGCATTGCCTCTGTGATGCCATTACCCATTCTTCTCGATGACGATATATTTTCCTCTGCGTAGTACCCATGTGAGAGCTTTCCTCAAGTTGCCTTTGGGTACCGAATTCATGTTCAGTTTCAAGGAAGATGGCAGATAGGAGATTTTCAGCATATCTGCAAAAGAAGGCAGATGCTACGGTGATCAAACAGTGAATAGGTACACTGAACAACGAACGTGGACAAAGTAAGTACCTAAGTTACGCAGCCATACGCATCCGCAGTATATTTGTTTATGCTCTTATAGATCGATACAAAAAAGGCTGCAAGAATGTGCTCACTTTTATTAACGCTGTTGTCAAGCTCATCACCAGAGGTCCGTCTTTCACCACACTTTCCTCTTCGTCGCCTGGAACCTACGGATATAAAAATAAAGGGTGAGGCGTCAGATACAATGGATGTGCAAAACAGCAAATGGCATTACAAAACAATAACCAAATAAATCCAGTTTACCAAACAAATACACAGAAACAAGCACAGAAGAAACAGGATGAATACGCAAACACCCTGACCAAAAGATCATCTACTTACGCCTCGTACGTATGAACACCATCGACTTGTTGATCGTGATGACCTTCAGCGGATTGTCTCCAGCTTCCGTTGGAGATGATTTTAACTGATCATCCGGCACGCTGTCGTCTTCGAGGAAATAATATTGGCTGAAAGTCAATAGCGTTTTTTATCATTATCTTCAGCTTCATTGGCATGGTGCAGTATAAGGTGCAATCATGCAATAAACAAAACTTTATTACTATTTAAAACAAACAAAAATGTCAAACATCATATATAGTCTGTAGAATCATTGCGAAATATCTAATGAATCAGATGAATGTCCAAATCCATAATCTTTGTGTCTATATAGCACGGTTTTCATGGGCATTTGTGATCTTTATCGGTAAAAGTAGATTAGCTAACCCAATTATATAGTTAGACACTATCAACACGAAAACGAAAATAAGGAACCAGTATAACGCCTTTTGGGGCGACTAACGGAGCAAGCGAGAGTGTGGGCCTTGCACGTGCGAAATTGCGAGGGGTACCTCCAACTGACTTGTGCACGGCACCCTACTAACCGGTCTCTAGCGATGTGCCAAATTTGGGCACAATCGGCCCAGCCGTTCTCGAGATCTGGAAGCGGCACCCTGCACGTGCGCACGTGCAAAATGGGTCCCAACTGACTTGTGCACGGCACCCTACTAACCGGTCCCTAGCTGTGTACCAAATTTGAGCGCAATCGGTCGAGTCGTTCTCGAGATCTGGAAACGACCCCTGCACGTGCGCACGTGCGGCAGCACCCCAACTCTGGCACATGGGTATGCAGTGCCTAGTGGGTGCCTACCTACATGCCAACTTTCAGCGCAATCGGCCAAGTAGTTACCGAGATATTGCAACAATTACAAAACTGACAGGTCTGTTCGTTTTGCACGTGGCACGTGCATAAGGGGTCACCCACATGCATCGGGAATAGTCCAATACTTGATGGAAGGAATGAAGCTACCATACAAAAAATTACCGCGTGCAAATCGGTCAAGTGGTTGCTGAGATATAAGCCTCGCAAAAGCGTCCGCGCACGGGGCCGCTCATACTCAGAAATTTCCGTTAATCTAAGGGAAGACTACGCTCGCTTCGCTCGCTCCGTAATAACCGATTATAAAGTCCTAATCCACTTTGAATTTAAACTGGTAACGATGAATTCGAGAACTATTAAGCGATTTGAATTTGTTAATCCGGATCACGAGTGCCCATGAAAACGTGGTCTATGTGGTGCTCTCACCCATCCTTCTCGATGACGCTGTATTTTCCTCTGCGTAGTACCCATAAAAGAGCTTTCCTCAAATTGCTCCTGGGCACCGAATTCATGTTCAGTTGCAATGAAGATGGCAGATACGAAATTTTCAGCATTTCTGCAAAAGAAGACAGGCTCGATTATGATCAGAAGCAGTGAAAAGTACGCTGAACATGAGAAAAGTACCTTAGGTACGCAATCATACGGACCTGCAGTATGTGCGCTTATACTCTTACATATAGTCTGCAGAATTGTCGCAAAATATATCTATACAAAACAATGACTGCAAGAATGTGCTCACCTTCATCAAAGCTAAAGTCAAGCTTATCACCAGAGGCTCTTCTTCCACTAAAAGGTTCTCTTCGTCGCCTTGAACCTGCGGATATAAAATGATAGGGTGAGGCGTCAGGTACACTCGGGGGCATATTGATGTTCCACCACTCCCTATACCCATCGGGCTCCCATGGCTCAGCACTGGCTGCTGCCAGTGGCAGCACTGGCAGCACTGGCACTGGCAGGCAGTGCTGAGCAGTGCTGAGGGCAGGCAACACTGGCAGCAGCCACTGCTGATCCATGGGAGCCCGATGGGTAGGGAGTGGTGGAACATCAATCTGCCCCCGAGTGTACGATGAATCTGCAAAACAGCAAATGACACTACAAAAACAATGAGCAAAATAAATTTAGAGTATCTAACATAAAGCCAGAAGAAACAGGATAAGTATGTAGAAACCCTGACCAAAAGATCATCTACTTACGCTTTGTACGTTTGAACACCATCGATTTGTTGATCGTGATGACCTTCAGCGGATTGTCTCCAGCTTCAGTTGGAGATGATTTTAACTGATCATCCGGCACGCTGTCGTCTTCGAGGAAATAATATTGGCTGAAAGTCGAACACGAGTTTTATTAATATTTGCAGTGTCATTGGCATGTTGCAATATAAGGTGCAATATAAAAAACTTTGCGGTACTAATTAAAAACAAAGACAAAAAATGCAAAACATGATCCATAGTCTGCAGAATTGTCGCAAAATATAAAATGAATCACGGAAATGCTCCAAACGTTTAGCATTGCCTCTGTGATGCCCTTACCCATTCTTCTCGATGACGATGTATTTTCCTCTGCGTAGTACCCATATGAGAGCTTTCCTCAAGCTGCCTTTGGGTACCGAATTCATGTTCAGTTTCAAGGAAGATGGTAGATAGGAGATTTTCAGCATATCTGCAAAAGAAGGCAGATGCGACGGTGATCAAACAGTGAATAGGTACACTGAACAACGAACATGGACAAAGTAAGCACCTAAGTTACGCAGCCATACGCATCTGCAGTATATTTGTTTATGCTCTTATAGATCGATGCAAAAAAGGCTGCAAGAATGTGCTCACTTTTATCAACGCTGTCAACCTCATCACCAGACGGTCCTCTTCGTCGCCTGGAACCTACGGATATAAAAATAAAGGGCGAGGCGTCAGATACAATGGATCGGCAGAACAGCAAATGGCATAACAAAACAATAACCAAATAAATCTAGTGTACCAAACAAATACACAGAAGCAAGCACAGAAGAAACAGGATGAATACGCAAACACCTTGACCAAAAGATCATCTACTTACGCTTTGTACGTTTGGACACGATCGACTTGTTGATCGTGATGACCTTCAGCGGATTGTCTCCAGCTTCCGCTGGAGATGATTTTAACTGATCATCCGGCACGCTGTCGTCTTCGAGGAAATAATATTGGCTGAAAGTCAAACACGAGTTTTATTAATATTTGCAGTGTCATTGGCATGGTGCAATATAAGGTGCAATATAAAAACAGTGCGGTACTAATTAAAAACAAAGACAAAAAAATGCAGAACATGATCCATAGTCTGCAGAATTGTCGCAAAATATAAAATGAATCACGGAAATGCTCCAAACGATTAGCATTGCTTCTGTGATGCCCTTACCCATTCTTCTCGATGACGATGTATTTTCCTCTGCGTAGTACCCATCTGAGAGCTTTCCTCAAGTTGCCTTTGGGTACCGAATTCATGTTCAGTTTCAAGGAAGATGGCAGATAGGAGATTTTCAGCATATCTGCAAAAGAAGGCAGATGCGGCGGTGATCAAACAGTGAATAGGTACACTGAACAACGAACGTGGACAAAGTAAGTACCTAAGTTACGCAGCCATACGCATCCGCAGTATATTTGTTTATGCTCTTATAGATCGATACAAAAAAAGGCTGCAAGAATGTGCTCACTTTTATCAACGCTGTCAACCTCATCACCAGACGGTCCTCTTCGTCGCCTGGAACCTACGGATATAAAAATAAAGGGCGAGGCGTCAGATACAATGGATCTGCAGAACAGCAAATGGCATTACAAAACAATAACCAAATAAATCTAGTGTACCAAACAAATACACAGAAGCAAGCACAGAAGAAACAGGAGGAATACGCAAACACCTTGACCAAAAGATCATCTACTTACGCCTCGTACGTATGAACACCATCGACTTGTTGATCGTGATGACCTTCAGCGGATTGTCTCCAGCTTCCGCTGGAGATGATTTTAACTGATCATCCGGCACGCTGTCGTCTTCGAGGAAATAATATTGGCTGAAAGTCAAACACGAGTTTTATTAATATTTGCAGTGTCATTGTCATGGTGCAATTTAAGGTGCAATATAAAAACAGTGCGGTACTAATTAAAAACAAAGACAAAAAATGCAGAACATGATCCATAGTCTGCAGAATTTTCGGAAAATATAAAATAAATCACGGAAATGCTCCAAACGATTAGCATTGCCTCTGTGATGCCATTACCCATTCTTCTCGATGACGATATATTTTCCTCTGCGTAGTACCCATCTGAGAGCTTTCCTCAAGTTGCCTTTGGGTACCGAATTCATGTTCAGTTTCAAGGAAGATGGCAGATAGGAGATTTTCAGCATATCTGCAAAAGAAGGCAGATGCGACGGTGATCAAACAGTGAATAGGTACACTGAACAACGAACATGGACAAAGTAAGTACCTCAGTTACGCAGCCATACGCATCCGCAGTATATTTGTTTATGCTCTTATAGATCGATACAAAAAAGGCTGCAAGAATGTGCTCACTTTTATTAACGCTGTTGTCAAGCTCATCACCAGAGGTCCGTCTTCCACCACACTTTCCTCTTCGTCGCCTGGAACCTACGGATATAAAAATAAAGGGTGAGGCGTCAGATACAATGGATCTGCAAAACAGCAAATGGCATTACAAAACAATAACCAAATAAATCCAGTTTACCAAACAAATACACAGAAACAAGCACAGAAGAAACAGGATGAATACGCAAACACCCTGACCAAAAGATCATCTACTTACGCCTCGTACGTATGAACACCATCGACTTGTTGATCGTGATGACCTTCAGCGGATTGTCCCCAGCTTCCGTTGGAGATGATTTTAACTGATCATCCGGCACGCTGTCGTCTTCGAGGAAATAATATTGGCTGAAAGTCAATACCGATTTTTATCAATGTTTCAGGTGTCATTGTCATGGTGCAATATAAGGTGCAAAATAAAAACAGTGCGGTACTAATTAAAAACAAAGACAAAAAATGCAGAACATGATCCATAGTCTGCAGAATTGTCGCAAAATATAAAATGAATCACGGAAATGCTCCAAACGATTAGCATTGCCTCTGTGATGCCATTACCCATTCTTCTCGATGACGATGTATTTTCCTCTGCGTAGTACCCATCTGAGAGCTTTCCTCAAGCTGCCTTTGGGTACCGAATTCATGTTCAGTTTCAAGGAAGATGGCAGATAGGAGATTTTCAGCATTTCTGCAAAAGAAGGCAGATGCAACTGTGATCAAACGTAGTGAAAAGGTACACTAAACATTGAACAATGATCATGGACAAAGTAAGTACCTACTTATTTCGCAGTCATACGTATCTGCAGTATATTTGTTCATGCTCTAATAACAAGTGCTCCGCCACCGGGGAGGGGGGACGGAGGGACGTGTCCCCCCAAATATTTTACATTTTTTACATTACGTCTATGGGTGCCGCATGGAAAGAATCGACTTCATACGGCCTTCGTCCCCCCCCCCCCCAACCATCGGGTCGTGACGGAGCCCCTGTCTTATAGATCTATACAAAAAAAGGCTGCAGCCTGCAGGAATGTGCTCACTTTTATTAACGCTGATGTCAAGCTTATCACCAGAGGTCCGTCTTCCACCACACTTTCCTCTTCGTCGCCTGGAACCTGCGGATATAAAATGAAGGGGTGAGGCGTCAGGTACTTACTTACATATCCTGATCTCGCTATATGGCTTCCTGGCTAAGAACACAGATAGCTCTTCAAACGCTGCGTTTATCCTGGCGATCGATTTTTCCGAGGTCGTCGACCTGGTTAGCCATGATGTCGTGCTCAGGAAGCTCCTTGACCAGCAAGTTTGTCCCTCCATCGTGCCTTCAGTAGCCAGCTTCCTCAACAACCGGAAACAGGTCGTTCGACTTGGTGGCTCGAATCCTGTCACATCAGAGCTCAGTACCATGTGTGGAACCCCCCAACGGACAAAAATCGCCCCCTATTGCATTTTTGGCTCATACAAATGACTGCGCTGTTACCGAAGATCATCAGTGGAAATATGTGGACGACCTCAGAATCGGCATTCTGTCACCTGCAAGAGACGCAAACATTGTCCTCCAGAGAGCCCAGACGGCCGGATCCACTCTGGAAACATGGTCAGAGAACAATCTCATGAAGATCAACGGAAAAAAAGTGTCATATGCTCATCTGCAACTTCTCTCACAACACGGATATGGACGGTACAGTAATCATTAACAACGAACCAGTACCTGTCGTCCCTACCATGACACTTCTCGGCGTCCATATTACTTCTGACTCAACTTCTGACTTAAAGTGGACGGAAAATAATACAAATCATATCACAAAAAAACGCCTCGCGCAGGATGTTCATTGTTCATGCCCACAGTCCTCCGTCAGTTCCATGCAGATCGAAGCGATATCCGCGCCGCCTACATCAGCTTCATTCGTCAATGTCTGGAATACTGCTCTCAACTGTGGCACACGGGACTGACACAGCAACAAGCACAAGCAATCGAGCAAGTCCAGAAAAGAGCTTGCAAAATCATGATAGGATACGAAAACTACACCGACTACGCCTCGCTCTGCCTGCCAGCTTCTCAACCTCGAGATGCTGAGTGAGCGTCGCGATGCTGCCCTCTGCAAGCTGGCGGCCGACATCCTCGCCAACCCCGCCCACCCACTGTACCCGGGGGCCGGGCGAGGAGCTGGCAAATGTGAGGCGCCCTCTGCGCCGGCAGCGAAAGCTTGTCGTACCGCGGGCTAAAACTGAGCGGTATAAAAAGTCCACTGTGCCTGTACTCATAGATCTAATGAACAGGATGTGATCCCCATTCCCCACGTAGACATGTTCGGAGCTCTTTTGAAATGCACTGTGTTTACGGGGCGAGCGAAGCGAGCGGAGTCTTTCCCATATAACGGAAAAATCTCACTATGAGGGGCCCGACCCGGCCTGTAACGCTTTTGAGAGCCTTGTAACTCAGCAACCGCTGGACCGATTTACTTGCGGTAATTTTTGTAGGGTTAGCTTGGTTCCTTCTACCAAGTATTATACTATTTTCGATGCATGTGGGTGACCCCTTATGCACGTGCCATGTGCAAAACGAAGAGGTGTTATTTTTGTAACAATTGCAATATCTCGGTAGTTGCTGGGCCGATTGCGCTGCAATTTTGCATGTAGGTAGGCACCCACTAGGCAATGCATATCCATGTGCCATAGTTGGGGTGCAGCTGCACGTGCGCACGTGCGAGGGTCGATTCCAGATCTCCAAAACAGCTGAACCAATTACGCTGAAATTTGGTAATGGCTAAGGACCGGTTAGTAGGATGCAGAGCAAAAGTTGGGACCCATTTTGCACGTGCGCACGTGCAGAGTGCCGCCTCCAGATCTCGAGAACGGCTGGGCCGATTGCGCTCAAATTTAGCACACCACTAATAACCAGCTAATAGGGTGCAGTGCACGTCAGCTAGAGGTACCCCCTCGAAATTTCGCACGTGCAAGGCCCACACTCGTTCGCTCCGTTTGTCGCCCCAAAAGGCGCTTTACTGGTTTTAGTTTTTGTGATGCTTATCACTTCTTCATGTGGTGAAGTTGGACGCTTGAGCCTCGCGGCTACTCGCCCTAACCCAACAACAACAACAACATTCATGTGGTGAAACCATTACACGGGAGCTCATGTACGGCATTTTTACCAGTTGTTGACTGTCACGTGGTCAACTAAGCCTTTATGTATGTATGTATGTATGGATGGATGGACAGCAAAATGGAAAGATCGATTTTAGCTGTAGTGTCATACACTTACTTTTGATCACCTTCGATTTATCAAATTTGAACAGTTTCATTGCGCCATCGCCAGCCTCCGTTGCCGTCGATTTGAGCTCTTCGATGGGCAGGCTTTTCAGGCAGAAGTATTTCCTAAAAAAAGCAGTACACAGGTAACATCAACCTAGTCATGATGGTTATGGGACTCTTCTTGAAACATCACCTGAAGCTATGGCCACGTCACCCACTGAGTTGAATTGTCGTGAAAAAATATACGCATTTAGTTGAAAGTTCTTACATAAGTAGAACATCGCTTGATTCATGCAGCATAAAATGCATGACCGTATAGGCGATAAGCAAGTGGGTACACACATGTAGGTAGGCGTATGCAAGGGCACCTACATTCAGTATCGCTTCCCAGCACACGCGCACTTGCTAGACATATACAGCTACCATGACTAGACACCCGACAAATGGAAATTACCATGTGATGCAGAAAAGGTCAACACAGCTGAGGAAACATCCCTCGTGTCGGTTCTAGCAAAATGAATAACAACAATTCAGAAAATCGGAACAATAGCAATGAAAAGAAGTGAAACAATTAAAATCTGTCAAAAGACAGGTAACTTTATACCTAAAAGCCGTTTTCACGACGGCCATTAGGTACACATTTGGTGTACATTTGGTGTATATTTGGTGCAGACTTCGTCAAATTAGACTCAGCGTGTTTCTTAGTAGCTTTCGGCTTGGGTTACACTATGTAATTGCTTATACGTCTGCTTTATCAAAGGATCATTCATTTTTATCGATTAAAATTGGGTTAATGGGCCGTGTCAGACCGTTTCTTTCGGCAAGGGAGCTTTTACTTTTATACAACAGTATTGTTCTTCCTCATCCTAACTACTGTGCTGCCATATGGGGTAATGCGTACCTACACAGACTTCATAGAATAACGTTGCTTCAAAAGAGAGCCTTAAGGATGATTGATAACAAACCTTTCCTTTACCCGTCCCGTACCTTATTTGTTAAACACGGTAGGGTAGTGTGGGGTAATTTGAACATATGTTTACGTCTTCTCCGTTGTACCAAATTCCAGCTCAACCCTGGATGAAGAAAAACTGTTTCAGTAGCGCATGTGTCACTTGCTTTCACCATGCAAGCCTCATTTTTTGACGAGCCGAGCATACCTTGAATAGCATAGCATCACTTCTCCACCAAGTCACGGTGTGTTCAAATTGCCGCACCGTGGGGTAATTTGAACATACTGCCTTTACCTGCCATAAAAACGATATGTAGTCTCGCCAGCATCGATGTTGTTTGACCCATAAACGAATAGGCAGAGCAATTCTAAACATACCTTCATTTGAAAAATCGACACAACAACAAAAATAACAGTTGCAGAGTATCAATATCTGCACGCTGCACACCGGTCAGTTGGCAGAATTCGCCTCTCTTCAATTAAAAAAAAACGTCTATCATATCCGTTCGATAAAAACTCTACCAAACCTTACTTTATCTGTTATAGTGGTGCCAATCGGAACCTGGACATTCGGAGTTCCGATTCTTTATAATGTCCATTTCGGAATTGATTGCACAAATGTATAATAGCCTGGACAACATTGGACGATGGCCTGCATTTTTATCAAGTAATCGTGCGTAGCATTGATTGGCGAATGGAAAGCTTGTTAAGCTCTCAATATAATAAACACTTCTCGGCTGGTAAAATTACATGATAATCAATATAAATGACGGTTTTGAGTGTTCATAGCTGCATAATTTTCGGACATATTTGGACAAATAGTTGACTTTAACATTTTTGGACGGAAAATCAACGAAAATGCCGGACATTAGACGGATATTAGACGTACATTTTCTAAAACTGGCATCACTTATCTGCTACTGCTTTGGGTCGAAAATATTGGCAAAAAAAACTGGGAGCGTTGTTTTTTCGGATCTATCCCTGTCTTCATTGAAATTATCACACTATGTTCAAATTAACCCACGCTAAAAGTTATTTTGCCATTTTTAAAAACAGGGTTCAAAAGCAAATTTCTTGGATTGAAGGCACTGATTAGGTCATTGTACAACAGATGCCGTTGCGTATTAGGCGCTAGCAATGCAAGATTTTGCGCTGCAATGAAGTTGCAATGACGTGTTGTTAGGCGCTTTTCCTTGCGAAATTGATTTTTTACACTGTGCGTCAACATCTTCATTCCCTGAAACTTTAAACCCCGTTCATATGATAGCCCTTTTAGTTACGATAATTTCTCTCATTGGTCTTATTGTCATGCCACTTATGGATTTTCCGTAATTTTGTGTTATTCACACTATGTTCAAATTGCCCCACATGTTCAAATTACCCCACCCTACCCTATCCTTAAAATGCCTGAGCTTACGAAACTACAGACAATCGTTATTCTACTACCTTTTTTGACTGGAATCCTTCCAGCTGAAGTGTCTGACCTATTCAAACTTAGCACTTCCATTATTGTGAGGTCGCCTGAACATTTTGTTACGCCCCTTTCTCGTTTTAACCCTCGCCCGTAAACGGTGTTTTGCCACCTTCGCCCATGCAGGGGTTGGGGGTTGGTGTGACCCCCCCCCCCTGGCGTTTGAAAACAGAGCGTCGTAGAGCTTAGCGGAAAAGACCAACGGATTGCTCTCAACGAGATCTCCTGATTGGTGGTATAGTTTTTGGTCCTAGGTCAACATTTGACCTACTTATGACCGGTCAAAGGTCAAATTTTCGGAAAAAAACTAACTTTTTCAGATTTCCGCGCCGATTGTGGCAAAACAGTAAGAGATATCGACTTAAAACCTTCACTATCGTGATCCTGGATCAATTCTCTATCGTTTGGTGTGTATTTCGATGTCATAACTCTAAAAATGATGCGTTGGGAGCATCGGAAGTCTGCAAGGTCATTTGTGCATTGGGTCACGTCAGGCGTGTGACGTCACTGACCTGACCCTGACCCAAAATGAACTACAAGAAACAACCGACGATGCCTGAAATGGATAGCAAATTCGAATTCAAGGCATCAAAATACCCCGAAAAGCCATACAAGTGCAAGAAGTCATTACAGGTCAATCGAAGTCACTGACCTTACCTTGACCTTTAGTAACCTTCAAAATGTCAACGGACATTGTGCCAATGTCAAATCAGCCAGTTGTGATTCTAAAACAATCCATCAGTGTGTCAGGTCAGTCGGCATTTATACCAATGTGAAGCAATCTTCAATTTAGCGTAAATCTGGCCGGAGGTTGTTCCCTTTATGACGTCATAACTCCGTGACCTGACATGACCTTGACAAAAAAAATACCAAAAGTTGCGCAAAGGATGCCCCAGAGGGTACTGAAAATTTGAGCAGGCTATCTGAAACGGTTCGGCGTGTAGCTAAGAAAAACCTCAGGGGGGTTGCACCAACGTGAAAACGGCTTTACATGGGCGAGGGTTAATTTCCGGATTTCTTCCATTTCGTTCAGTGCTCCTAAGGCATGGAATTCTATTGTTGCCAAAGACTTCCCTCAACTTACCGATGTCCCCAGAAGCAAGGTTATTCTTAAAAAGTTTGTTAAGTCGGTGCTCATTAACCCGCGCCCCGCTGGGGGGGGGGGCAGAATCTGCCCCCTCACGTTTTTCGCTAATAACTTCTAAACGCGTTATGCCAGCAGCGTGAAACTTTCAGCACCTTATCATACATCAATTTGACACGATCCCTGAAAATCTGAGCGAAATCCGTCGGAAACCTTTTGAGAAATTGACGGTTTAGAGACGTCATGTTCGCCATTTTCGCCTCAAAAACGGCAAAATTTCAAACGCCGCTAAAATCTTCAATTTTAAAGGAATCAAGACGTAACAAAAAGGGTATACGTGATTCTACTGTGTCTATCAAATGGCTATCTCGGTTTTTTGAAAATTTTGGATTTTGGCCCAAATTGTTTGTTAAAAAACTGACTTTGTTGGGAAAATAATTATAAAATCCAAAATTTTGAGGGTATAAAAAAACGCAATATATGTCAGAGCAGTGATCTATGTGCACCTACATACTAATTTTTAGAAGAATTGGTTCAAAAATGTGGGAGTTATTCAAAATTTTATGACGTCACGACACACAAAATTTTGAAAAATGATTATTTTGGAAGTTTTAGACCTCGTACGGAAACGAACATAGCACCATTCGATACGCCGTGAAAAACTGCATCAGATAGACACCTTTTTAGACTTTAACAACCAACTTCAAAATTTGACCTTACTTGACCTTGACCTGAACTCGACCCCAAGTTCATCCAGAGGTGGTCCATATCACTTGTTGAGTGTGCCTATTGAATTCTATGAGTAAAATGGCCCATAAAACATGTGTCGCACATGCCCTTTTCTATATTTTGTTTTTGGTGACCTGACCTGACCTGACCTGACCTTGACCTTGACCTTTGAATGACATTTTTGCAACGACTATTGTCTTGGTAGTCTAACCCTCGCCCGCACATGGGGGGGGTTGCCACCCCCCCCCCTCTGCACTCAACATTGTTAGAGCTAGAAGGCTGATTTTTCGTATAGCTGCTCCGCTATCCTTTCTTGATGTCCACTGGAAATTTCAAGTTTCTGTGATTTTTGGTTTCGGAGATATGACCTTGTTTTTTCCGGTCATGTCATGACCCAAATGGCCAATTCTCAACATCTTGCGTTTGCCATGGGCCTTGTGGGCTTTTGACACCCTGATTTCGGCCTTTTTTGCCAGTCTTACCTCCCACCTGTCATGGAACATGTTGTTCGACGATGTACAGGGGTCAAGGTCAGGGTCAAGGTCAACCTAGGTCATCTAAGATAATTGCGTTTTAGGCAAGCTGAATTTACTTTTTGTGAAGTTTTTTGACTGCATTTTTGGTAAAAGCTTCTCAGATCATGATTTCATGTAATATGGACCCAAAAACAATGGGTACACACATCAGTATACACACAGACACACACAGACATACAAGCACATATAATTGACCTTGACCTAACTTGACCTGAAATGACCTCAGCAGCAAAATTCTGGTCGGGTAGTGTGACAAAGAGGTTCTAGCTGGCTTGGCACCAGAAAACAGCATCGTCATCGGTATTTGATAAGCAGCGCACTTGATATCCAACGGTGACCCAAAACAGCAACATTTTTTAGTTTGACCTGACCTGGAAGGTCAATGACTGACCTGAGGAGGTAAAACTGGGTATCATTGGATTCGTCTCTTCCCAAAGAATCTTGTTGGTCCTTACCGCTAAGCTCTATCTCCAACAGGAACGAAATGGCGCGAGGTGGGTGGCAACCACCCCCATGTGCGTTCTAGGATGGGAAAATGGCATGTGCGGGCGAGGGCTAAGAACACGTTTTGGGCAATCAGTCTCAGTCCATTCTTCGGCAACTACGGTGCAAGGCCGATACTGTAGAAACTTGCATTTTGTACCCTTGACCTGACCTTGACCTGACCTCTGACCTACTTAAGCAAAAAAAATTGGGCTCTTTAGATCCGCCTTGTTGAGAGCTTTCGATTGCCGTTTTCCCCGTCTTTCTACGACCATCGGTTCGGAAGTTAGACAGGGGGGGCAGAATGTGCCCCCCCCCCCAGCAGGGCGCGTATGGCTGAATAGCCCAGCGGGGCGCGGGTTAAAGAATATGGCGATTAGGAGAACGAACCCGTACGTTACATTTTATATAACTGAGCTAGATCAGTTTATGGCGTACTGTGTGATCTGTGATGTCATCCATGCTTTGGCCTATTACCTCTACAATCGTTTTTCTCGATTATTTGCTGAGTTTTTTTCAATACAAATATTGTGACCAGTTACTTAATACTCATTTGTTTTTCTCGTGATATATTTTTATAAGGACAGTTAATTAACGCGTAAATCACCTGATAAACTATTTAAGTCTCTTTTCTACATGAATATTTATTACGCAGTTTTCGTCACGTGTTCTTGTTGTTGTTTTTCCTTTAGCTTTGTTTATGCATACATTGTTTGCTTTTTTCATATTTCGTCTCTTTTTGTTCTTATCCTACCTAACCATTGTCAGCCCTGGGTACTCAGCGGACGTCACTAGCCATGCTATCTGTCTGCTGGGTCCCCAGGGGTAACCTTTTTACTAATACCTGTGGTGGCGGGCTGACCATAGCTAGAAAAAAGAGCGGGGAGTGATGTGACCTAATATGCTTGAATTCCCCTCCTTGAATGAAGTTCTGTGGTACTTAACGTAGCCAGGTCACATGGGCATGGAAGGGCACTCCTGCATACCTCTTCCACTATGTTTCACATGGTGGACAATTCGATAGGTATGGGACAAAAAAAAAACACAAAAAAACACTGAACTAAATTATTGATAAATGAGATATTTGCTGTAAAAGATATTTGGTGCAGATTTTGTCAAATAAGTGCGTTCGTCACGGAGCCCGTCGTGAAAACGGCTACTGAACGCCTACAGCTCAAGGCCACACTAGTGCTCATCATTGTTTCGATGTTCATCGCCAGTGCTATTTTTCCTCACCCTTCAGCCTCGATGACATTGTATATTCTTCGGCTAAGCACCCAAATAATGGCCTTCTGCAATGTGTCGGCTGGCACGGAAATCATGTTGGGTTTGAGAGCAGAAGAGATGTAGAAGGTTGGGAGTGTTTCTGCGAAATAGAATAGACACAAGACAGTTATAACTACTAGATTGATCTGACACTGATACCGTTGCGTGATTAAGCATCTAATATAACGATCAAACGTGCCTAGTCCGATGGTAGTCGCGCAAATTTTGGTCAGAAGCAGAGTTTTTCAAGGTCCCATGTTAAAGGCATGGCTTTTAATGACAGGAACTATTGCATGAAAGTGTTCAGACTCATGAGCCAACGGAGTCATTTTCAATTAAATACTACCCAATAAATTTGCATGTAAGGTAAACTCACGTTCATCAAACTTGATCTCCATCTGATTACCAGACGCTCTTCTTCCGCCGGAGCTTTCCCGTCGCCGGCGATAGCCTTATGGGACAAAGTAGCAGGCGTCAAGATGTAAAATGTATAACCATGTTAGCAGAAACTTTTAGATGGAGGAAAACAAAATATCGGTGAGAAATATAACAATGCACAAGGATCACGGGGCATAATGATATCAAATGGCAACTATACATTAGGTATATTTTTTCCAGAACTATGCACAGCATTTTATAATATTGAAAAGACTAAGTTCCTATACTATATTACGCATATTTACCAATCCTGCTGTTGTGCATAAGGCAAATAGGTATCACTGAAAAAGACGGATGTGGCTCGGCAATTAGAAAAGGAGAAAGCTTTTGTTGCATCAGTATTTACACGTGGACACAGTCTTCCCTAGCGAGGCGTTCAGGGCGAGAGGTGCACGACTCACCGGACTGATGCCGGTGCCGGCCGGACTGCAGGCGCGCCCGGTGCGTGCAGCTACCGCCGTCCGCACCGCCGCACGAGCTCTTCCCGCACACAGTACACGGCTGACCTGCGGCCCACGTACATACACATACCGTCACGACCGGTACTATTGGACGGAACAGTGGTTGGGGCACTTCTGCACCCAGGGTTGTACTTGACTCATGAGTCGAGTCAGAAATTTGACTCAACTCCGACTCAAATAAGTCAGATTTGTGTCAAGTCGGATAAAATGTTGAGCTGTTGAGTTGAGTCAGAGTTGAGTCGGACAAAAATATTAAGGTGTTGAGTTGAGTCAGAGTTGAGTCAGTAAAATAACTTTTGACATTGAGTTGAGTCAAACATTTAGGAACATGAGTCAGCTGACTCAACTTTCTAGAAACAATATATATATATATATATATATATATATATATATATATATATATATATATATATATATATATATATATATATATATGTTACGGGCCAAGTGCGAAGGCTAGTCCGTTTGCGAACGGACTAGTCCATTCGCGAATGGACTAGGCCGTTTGCGAATGGCGGTCCGTTTGCAAACGGACTAGGCCGTTTGCGAATGGCCGGCCATTCGCGAATGGCCTAGGCCGTTTGCGAACGGACGGGTTTGTGGCGTTGCACTTAGCCGCCGGAAGCATGGATCCTCGGATTGGGGTACGATTCCGAATGAATGGGGGACCGCTGGTCGATGCAGGGGCGTCGCCGACGGGGGGGGGGGGGTCGGAGGGGTCCGAACCCCCCCCCCACACACACACATTCTTGAAAATATGCCGGTCCGACGCCCCCCCCCCTTCCCCCCCCCCCCCACACACACTTTTGTCCACGATTGTTCGATCAAGAATAAAATAAAATATTTTAAAAACGATTTTGGTGCATTCTCAAAATAAAATTGTCTAAATCTGAGGAGTTTTCAGTATTTAGTGGGGATTACTTTGACTGACCGTCCGACCAGATCCCCTAGTCGAAAATCCGTGGCGACGCCACTGCGGGTATATGTTTAGTTTGTTCTCCGGAGCAGATCTGCGAGCTGGGGCATTCCACGATAGATCGTACCAGGCCCGTCACCCTCATCTCTCAGATTTTAATGAAAATCGGTCCTAGGGGTAATCATAGGCCCCAAAGACGCCTGGCAAATTATCAGACTTCTCAGATCAAAACTTTTTGAGTTATATTGCATTACATTTTTTTAACTTCGGTATGTAACGGTGAGTTTGATGGCCTATAACTCAAGAACGGGTTAAGCAACCAACAAAAAGTAAACAAGATTAAGCTTGCAATGAATCAAAAATTATAGTCCATTTTTTTTCAAAAGGCTCATGGCCCGAAGTATTATTTTGGAGTTAGCACGTGCGAGACCCTAGAAAATAAAGCCGAGATGAATTTCTCGGCCATTTTTGAAATATAACCGCAGTGCTACGGAACGAGTTGTTCAGTTGAGCTTATATTCTGTGTCACGTTTCAAAATGTTAGTAAATTCCAAGGCCCTAAATACAAGGTTGCACGGACTTATTTCTACTAAACCTACCAGAATATAGTTTCACGGTTGGTTATTTAAATAATTATTCAATCAAAATTTCTTTATTATTATCTCGTGATCATTTATAAGCAATTTTATAAATCAACTTTCAATTTGCTTGCCTTTTACTAGCAAAATAACTTTTCTAGTATTGGGTCAACATAGTGGTGTAGCAGTAGGAACCACATCTGGCAAAACCCCAATGCCTACATACAGCAGAAAGGAGCCACCAGGTGTCGCCACAGTCGCCACTTGGTCGCCACACAGATGTCGCGCGCGTCGCCAATCGCCACACTACCGATTTCCATAAGGACGCATATGTACGGATATGTATAGGAAAGTCGCCCTTAAGGATTACGCTTACATCCTTTGCTTATGAGGTCGGTGGTTGGAAATTGGGAGGGGCTCAGCTATTTTCGACCATGGATATGCCTTTATCACATGATGAGGAACATGCTGATAAGCGTTTTATGCGTCATAACAGCACAAAAGTATTTTTAATCATTTTTCAAAAATAGCCGTTCTGCCGTATCTTTCAGTGCAAGGTGCCGTCGGTCATCCCCGACGTGACGTCACACAGGGAATTTGCCAGATTTTCCTACTAGACTTCGACACCCCCTGGTAAATTCATAGATTTGAGCCATTCTGTTAATTTTGCATGCTAATGTAACGTCACTCCTGTAGTAACCTTGATTCCACAGCCAGCCCATTACTTGAGAAACTAGCAAGCGGCAAATCTTTAAACTACCAAGACAGAACCAAGGCGACAGAACAATGATTTTTGCTACAATACTCTGTCGGGGGCGGCAGAATTCTGAACAGCAGGCTCATGGAAAACATGTCATTGTCAGCCGCTGAAGCTGGTGACGCTCTGTTGTCTTACATTGTGTTTTCGCATGCTACGTAGAAACTTCGGTCGTCTTTTTAATAACTCCTTCCACCGACTTTCCCAATGCAGAAATCGATCGGTCAGTATTGTAATAGGTCGGCAGATATGCTGGCGCATGTTTCTTTTTATACTTACCAGGAAATAAATTTAAAACAAAATGTCAATCCGTGTTATTTTTGTAGGCCTGCAAACAGGTCATCCACGTGATCATTTTAATCATTTGTTTAGTGCCTATGGCTAGACCCCGTGTGGAAGCATTTTCGATTCACAGTTCCTCATTATGAGTCTTATGTCTATACTTTATCGCAAATCAGAGACCACCAACCGACCAGTCTGATTTCGAAACGTGCCAAGCTGCCAAGCCGGTGTTCGTTGATTTTTGTCAAAACCACCACTTTGCACGTGACAATTCTAAAATCGATTTTCGGGCCGTGCGCCTTTTGAAATAAAATGGACTAATATTGCTATTTAAAAATTCCAAAGAAAAAATTTCATTGTTGAGCAAAAGCCTTAATCTTTTTTCATTTGCCTCTAATGACTTTTGGGACCAAAATTTTTCACATTTTTATTTTTTCAAAATAATCTTCATGTCATTGCAAATCGACGTGCAAAAAATTAGAAAGGTGTTCTTTCTATAAGTTCCTCATTGTCCCGCAAACAAAATGGGTTTCGGAGGGGTTGATACGACCCCAGCACGCCGTTTCGCTTCTAATAGAGCTAGAGCCTCGCGGAAAAAACGAGCGTGTGTGCCGTTACAAGTCACAGCGATTGGTACCCGATTTTAAGGTCTCAGGTTAACCGGTAGCGTCTGAGGTCAGGTCACGTGACTGAAGTTACGGGTTCGGTTTTTAGTAAATAACTTCGCAAAAAATGGCCGCAGAGCCGCGATTTTGGCATCATTGTGTTTGCCTAGCTCAGGTGCATCGAATGGTATACTTTTTGCTAGGGTGAGGTCAACTTATGTAGTTGACCTCGGGTCAAGGTCAGGTCAGAGCCCCTCAGGTCACGAAGCTGGGCAAAGGGTATCATATGGCATATCATTCGATTCGGAAGATCTTCCCGAGTCCATTGGTGGCTTTCCCGACTCTCTAGCTCCATTTGATCGGGAGTTATTGACGAAAAACTCGTACGACCCTAGTGACGTCATAAATGACGTCACGCAAGGTTAACAATGCAAAAGTAAAGCCTTGGACTTTGCAAGGAGTGCATGAAATCACGATACCATGTACGTGGGATAGTTTTAGATCATTCTCGGCGCCAAAATAACAGTTTTTATATTTCCCATTGATTTATAACAGTGATGCCACGTGACCGACCTGACCTCATGTAACCTTGAAAAATTCCCAGATATACAAGTTGTGAGACCTCTGGAGGACACCATGTATGCGTCCTGTAACTTTCATCTCGGACAGCTATGGTCATTGGCGTCCAAAACAATGTCAGAACCAAACTGCCTTTTTCACCCTCGCGCTTATAGGAAAGAGGGTTGAATGAACCCTCTTTTCACTTTTTTTTCAGATGACTCAGACTTGAATTAAAATTTCGGTAACCCGTGATGTCACTAGGCAGCTTTACCACGCCATTTGTAAGCTCCCCTCCCGAAATCACTATTCGATACCGTTATCGTGACGTAAAATAAATACATTTATAGAAAGAACACCTTCCTAATTTTTTGCATACTTCTTAACAATGAGCCAAGTAATTTTTTAAAGAAATAAAAATTCAAAAAAATTTGGTCCCAAAGACCAAAAAAATACAAGTGAAAGAAAACTCGATATGTCATATATCAAAAATAGCGTATTTTTCGAAATTTCAAAAATACATATTAATCTCTGTTTCATTGCAAGTTCAATGTTATATAACATTTGGCATTTGAATAATCCGTCTTAGAGTTACAGCCCGCCAAACTTAGCGCTGCAAAGCAAGATCCAAAAAATGTTATACACCATAACTCAAAAAATACTTATCTGATAAGCCTGAAATTGTTACAGGTGGATTCAGAGCCCCGGATTACCCCTGAGACCAATTCTCGTCAAATTCCGAGAGATGAGGGTGTCAAATTGGAAAAAAGTGGTACGATCTATCGTGGAATGCCCCAGCTGGCGCAACTCTGGGTTAAGGTCTCCACACACCTGGTCCATTCGGGATGCGACTTTCCGCTGAACCCTGCACAACGCGGAAATTATAGCAACGTGTTGCCACTGGCCAGGCTTCGGCCACCGATCTGGATCTGGGGAGGTCAAATATCCCCGTGACCTTCGAACAGCGGAGAGTCGCGTGGTGTGCGGAGACCATTAGTACCGTGATCCGGGCTCCCCGCTGATGACCCGACCTGACCTTAATTGGTAGAGTTTGTGGCGCTCGATTCATTCTGCTCTGGTGTGGTGTACTGGGACGGTGCGGCTTGTGTGTGGTGAGTGCGGTGCGGTGAGTGTTCGAAAAACTGTTGTGTTGCATTGCATTTAACAATACGCGCACTGCAGGGGGGGTTGCTTTCAACCCCCCTGTGGTTTTTCACAGATCACGAGAAAACGGCGGCGCGCAGCAAAGCCAAATTTTGTATACCTTTTCTCCCATATTCTGCGCACATTGTGTGAAAATGCTGACTCCAGATGACCTAAGGTCAGGTCACCAGGCCAGGTTAAGTGACATCACCTCCGAAAAAGTTTGCACTTGCACCAAAGCTACAGCTGTTGAGCAATCGATATGAAACTTTAAGGATGTAGTAAGGGTGACACTGACCCGCTTTCCATGGGCACTTTGAGACATAGCGGATTACGGGAGGATTAGGGTTGTAATTCCGACCCGTACTCACGGAACCCATGTTTTTAAGTGGATTAGGGTTCGAATGCCTCCGTTTTATCGGCTGAGAATAAAAAAGTATCGGAAATTACGGAAAGCAGGCTGTAATCGCACTAATCCTTTATTTCACTGATCCGTTCAGTGAAATAAAGGATTAGTGAAGGTTGAAATAAAGGTTAAAGGTTAAAGGAAATAAAGAAATAAAGGTTGAGTTACCAATACTTTGCACGCATCATTTCACACGGGATGTTGCACATGCCAAGTTGACTTGCCAAGTTGACGTCACTTTGCTGGATATTTCGCACTTGGCCTGACTTCGCACTTGGACTGGGAGCATAAACGCCCGTCCATTCGCAAACGGCCTAGGCCAACTGCAATAACGCACATAGACTAGTCCATTCGCAAACGGCCTAGTCCAAGTGCGTTATCGCACTTGGACTAGGCCATTCGCGAATGGACTAGCCTTCGCACTTGGCCCGCAACATATATATATATCTCGCTTAACAACTAAGCCCTGGCCCTGCTGCCGGATTTTTTCACCCCCCCCCCCCTCAACAACTTTTTTATCTGAGTCAATTTTGAGTCAACTCACTTGACTAAAAAAAAATTGAGTCAAGTTTGAGTCGACTCATATTTTCATTGAGCCGTTTGAGTCATGAGTCGAGTCAAGGGAAAAATCAACTCCTTGTTTGAGTCAGAGTTGAGTCAGAGCTTTCTGAAGTTGAATGGTGAGTCGAGTCGGCAATTTTTTTTTTAGGCGAGCACAACCCTGCAGTTCCACCTTCCGCTGAATGAGCGTCAACATGGTGTTGACTCAACATCATACTTCTATAACGCGTCACGGAAGGCTGTAGGATGGCAATGAACGAAAGACACCCGGCTATTCGGAGCTAACTGTTGCTGTGAACTCACCAGTGATCTCGGAGCTGTCCACCTCCTCACTACCACTGCCACTCAGTGTCCTGTGACCTGTGGAAACCGACAAACAGTTGAATATTAAAACTGCACGTGTACTAGCCGGTTATCAAATAGAGACGCTATTAACCCGCGCCCCGTTGGGCTCTGCCGAGCAACGCGCCCTGTTGGGGGGGGGGCAATTTGGCCCTCCCCTAAGATCTCGAGAACCACGCAACCTAGCGACAAGCGGCAAAAGGTGATGGATAGCCCATCAGGGAACTACCTTGTGACCCAATTTTATTGACGTAGGTCAAACCGATGACGTCACAGGTCAGGTCAAACGTCGAATATTCACCGTTTACAGGCATTTCAAAAAATGCGTTGTAAAATCGAGTAAAATGCATTTCATTGAAAATCATCGATGGGGAAATGTTCTTCAAACACATATTTTGCTATTTGAGGTCACTGATACCAGGTCAGGTCACAGAGGTCAGGTCACTGAGGGTCATATAATGAAAATATCATGTGATGCATGTATTATGGTCCATTTTATATGCAAAATACGATTACGTGGGTCAGGCAGCCTTTGGGGTCAGTTTAGAGTATGTTCTGGTGAAGGTCAGGTCAAGGTCAGGTCAAATTAGGTCAAATTTCAAAATTGATATTTTTGCATAAAATGGGTATCGATTCGATGCAGCTCGTCACGGGGAGTTCAGTTGTGGTCTTTGTTTTGCCCTACATGGTCTAGAATCGCTACAAATTGAGTTCAAAAATTTGACGTCATCATTTTTGAACAGTTTTTTTCGCTATAACTTGGCCAAAAAACGAGATATCGATCTGAAATTTGGTATGTATATAGAAGAGCGCAGGGACTATCACATATATTCCGGTTTTTTTCGAAATTCGGATTTTTATTTTTCAGAGTTTTTCTTTAAAAAATCAATTTTTTGAATTTTTGGGGGTCAAAAACCCAATAATTTGAAAATCCGAGAAGGCAGTTTTGTAGCGCCGCTTTTTGTCTACATGACAATATAAAGAACTTTGAAATTGCTTGGTAACTGTAGATTTGGTGAGCGTTTTAACCCGCGCCCTGCTGGGGGGGGTGTTTGAACACCCCCCCTTGTGGTTTTTCGCGAATATCTCAAAAACGGCGGCGCGGAGCGCCGCCGTTTTTGGTACACCTTATCATACATCAATTCTACACATGTTATGAAAATTTCAGACCAAGGTCATTCAAGGTCAGGTCACCAGGTCACTTGAAGTGACCTCACCTCATAAAAAGTTTCAATGTCTGTCATAGCTACACCGAGTGACCGATCGCTTTGAAACTTTCAGCGATTGCTAAGAGCAATAGCATGTACAAAATGTATATCTCAGAATTTTGATATCGATGACCTAAGGTCAGGTCAATTTTGCGACCTCCCCATTATAAGTCAATGGGAGAAAACTGAAATGCGCCTCTTTTGGACGAAAGACATTACAAACACTCCCAAACACTGAATTACAAGTGGTTCAGACACGCTGAGCATAAAAATGTTGTCCGTGACCCCTGTTTATGCCCTGAGGTCATCTTAGGTCACGAATGGTATCTAACAGTTTTTCGCAAATAACTTTTGATAGAGGCATGCTAGAGCGATGAAAACGCCTTAGCTGTGTTCATCTCGACGATACGGATCGACTGATATGCAACATGACCCTTTCCGGTCAGGTCATGACCTTGACCTGAGGTCAAATTTTCAAGTTGACCTTTCAAGGTCAAGTCATAGTTCATTCGATGCGTCTTGACGAGAGGAACACGATGCCGCTAAAAGTAAGCTCGTACAAGGCTTGGGTCAAAAGTTATTGCAGAAAAACTGTTTCCGAAAAAATCGGCTATTTTTGCAGTTTTTGCCCCCTGCAGGCAAAACCGTTGACGTTAGGTCAAATCTGAGGGAATTACTCAGAAAGGGCGTTAATAGGGCTATCGAATGCGCTTTTCCGCGGCGCTGTAGCTCTATTGGTTCCCGAGTTATGCGTTGGCTTCTTGGAAATTGTCGACATTCGACCTGGAAATCGGCGAAATTTTGCCTTCAATGACCTCTGGTGACCTGACCTTTGACCTGACCAAAAAATTGACCGAAGTGATTTCCTCCTTATTTTTGACGCTCTTTCGAACGCCGCCTTCCGCGTATCGCTACGTGGCCCAGGAGCCGAGTTAGAAGGGGGGGGTGTTCAAACACCCCCCCCCCCCCAGCAGGGCGTGGAAATCCAGGACCCCCAGCGGGGCGCGGGTTAAGATTGCATGTTTTTTGGTCATTTTTGCTCGAGTATGACCTCAGTTTGACCTCAATAACTCCTGACCTAAGGTGACCTACGACTTTGAATTTTGTGTGAAGGTGTTAAATTGATGCCCGGGAAGGTACTGAAAATTTGTCGGCACTGCGCGCCGCCGTTTTCTTGCTATTCAGGAAAAACCACAGTGGGCCAAATTGCCCCCCCCCCCCAACGGGGCGAGGGTTAACCGCGCCCCGCTGGGGCTACTAAATTTCCACGCCCTGCTGGGGAGTGTTTGAACAACTCGGCTCCTAGCGACCTAGCGACACTGGGCCACCTAGCGACACACCGCAGGCGGCGTTCAAAAGAGCGTTAAAATACTAAAGAATACTTCGGTCACTTTTAGGTCAGGTCAAAGTCAGGTCACTAGAGATCATTGAAGGTAAAGTTTCGCCAATTTCCAGGTCAAAATTCAACAATTTTCGACGTAGCTCTTTCGCTAACCTGCCCTCAGCTTTGATCTAAGGTCAATGTATTAGCATGCAGGGGTTAAAACTGCCATGGTAGATATTTTTTTTGCGAAAGTTTTTTTTTCTCCAATAAATCTTAACTCAAAACTTATCCGAGCGTACTGAAACGGGCATCGTATTCCTCTCGTCGAGGCGCATCGAATGACATATAAGTAGACCTTGAATTGTTAACTTGAAAATTTGACCTCAGGACAAGATCATGACCTGTCCGGAAGAGGCCGTGTCGCATATCGATCGATTTGTATCAAGCTGAACACACCAAAAGTGTTTTCATCGCTCTAGCATGCATCTATCAAAAGTTATTCGCGAAAAAGCTGCTGCATACCTTTCGTGACCCGATATGACCTAAGGGGCGTAAGGAGGGAACATGGATGCTAATGTTCCGTCATTTTTTTACTTGTAACTCGATGGTTGGGAGTGTTTAGAATGACGTTCGTCCAATAGAGACATTTTTAAATTGTATCCTGTTGACTTCGAAAGTTGCAATGAAGAGGTCGCATAATTGACCTGACCTTAGGTCACCAATGTCAAAATTATGTGATGAACATTTTACACATACTGTTGCTCTTAAGCATTAATGAAGTTTCAAAACGATCAGTCACTCGGTGTGCTATGGTAAGCATTGGAACTTATTTCGAGGTGAGGTCATTTTACCTGACTGGTGACCTGACCTTCGGAAACCTTGGTATGAATTTTTTTTTTACAAACAAGTGTAAAGAAGATGTATACCTTAATAAGGTACGGGGTGTTCAAACACTCCCAGCAGGGTGCGGGTTAACCGTACTCAATCATACTGAATGTGCAAAGGGATAAAAGAAGTTAATTAAATAAGAGCATTTGGATGTGCTATTCATAAATGACAAATAATGACTTTTGTTGGCTTCAGGAGCAGTAAAAACCTTCTTACAAGGCATATATTCTTCATGTAAAATCAAACGTTTCGTCTCTGAACAAAGACATCATCAGTGAAGTTACACACAACAGTACATATTATGAGAAATTAAGCAATCAGGCGACATAACAAGAGCAACACAGTATCGCACATAAAATCATGCATATCATAAACATGCATAAACGTTTCATGTTTCATCAAGGACCCCTAGGTAACGATATCTAATTTATACGCCGACAACTTATCATTGATGGAAGGCCTAGACTTGAAAATGTGAATTTTTGCGTGTGAATAAAAAACCGCGGCGCGTAGCGCCGCGCCGCTTGGGGTAGCTTTTGATACATCAGTTTTGGATAATGTGTGAAATTTTTGACCCCAGGTCATGTCAGGTCAGGTCACCAGGTCAAGTTAACTGACCAAGCCTAAAAAAGTTTGCAATCATGTCCAGCCTACAGTGTTTGTCAGAAAGGTTTCCAACTTGGTGGATTGCATGATGTTATGGGCGCCTACAATTTGTATATCTCGGATTTTTTATATCCGTGACCTAAGGTCAGGTCAGTGGCGTGACCTTTCCATTACAAGTCAATGGAGAAAAATGAAAATGCCTCTAGATCCGTGTGTACGCATCGGAACAGTCCAAATATTTCAGAATCACAATGATTTAGTCCACGCGTGATGACCAAGGTGTCATTTTTGCTGATAGCCTCTAGACAGGTCATCCGAGGTCACTTGAGGCTACAAACAGTATTTTGCCAATAACTCGCGATTGGAAAGAGATAGAACGCTGGGGATGGTCTCATTGTGTTTGTCTTGTTGAGACGCATCGACGGATATGCAACATGACCTTTTCCGGTAAGGTCATAACCTTGACCTGAGGTCAAATTTTCAAGTTGACCTTTCAATGTCAAATTATAGTTCATTCGACGCGTCTCGGCGAGGGGAACACGATTCTGGCAATAGAAATGTTGTGGCTTTTTGTAGTCGAAAGTTATTGTCGAAAAACACTTTTCGTAAAAACAGCTATTTTTGGAGTTTTTGCCCTCTGGAGGCTAAACCGTTGACCTGAGGTCAATATTGATTATGACCTTTTCAAAAGAAGAGTTCAAAAGCTATCGATGGCTCTTCCATGCGTTTTTCTAGCTACCATAGTTCATGAGATAGCGGCATGTTTTCTGAAAAATATAATGGCAATTGGCAAATTTTGACCTGTGATGACCTCTGGTGACCCCAATATTGCTCTAAGGTGAAAAATGACCGAAATACTTTCAAACGTACGCATTGAGGGCTATCGACTGCTTTTTACCGCGTCTTTCTAGCCCTCTTAGTTTTTGAGTTAGAGGTGGGTGGTAACATATGCCCCCCCCCCCCCCCACTAGGGCGAAGTTGGCCGAGACCGCCACTGGGGCGCGGGTTAAAATCGTTCAACGAAAATGGTACGTCGCATGACAATGAATGGTCTCTAACAGAAGAGGCTACAGGAGAGGTAAGAAAATTTCCCGTTCTATCCGACTTGCCCTGATGCTGGCAAACTCTGCTATAAAGGCGCACATAGGTCGAGCCTATGTATGTCTCCTCACACGAGGGGCAACTGAACTGATAAACTATAGCAGAGCGGCATGCTTTCGGGATCACGTCTTTAAACGAGAAAAGAGAGCCTATGCTGCGGGTGTTGCGGAGAATGATCTTGGGGTTCAGGTAGGGATAAACTTTTTTAGAGTGGACTCTACCTCAGATCTTAGTTTGTTTGATTGTTTTCCAAAACAAGGCAGCACAAAGTACCTGTCTAGCTTGGGTACCTGGAACATAGTAGGACTTTTTGAAAACTCCTTCTTTAAAAACCTGTGAATGGCAGTCTCTACGTCTCCAAAAACGTTCAAACTTTAATTTAAGAATTCTGGAATCGCTTCACATTTTCAAGTTTAGGCCTTCCATCAATGATAAGTTGTCGGCGTATAAATTGCATATCGTTACCTGGGGGTCCTTGATGAAACATGAAACGTTTATGATATGCATGATTTTATGTGCGATACTGTGTTGCTCTTGTTATGTCGCCTGATTGCTTAATTTCTCATAATATGTACCTACTGTTGTGTGTAACTCAATGTGTAACTTCACTGATGATGTCTTTGTTCAGAGACGAAACGTTTGATTTTACATGAAGAATATAACGATATGCCTTGTAATAAGGTTTTTACTGCTCCTGAAGCCAACAAAAGTCAGACTTCTTGACGCAATTGAACGAGACCATGACAAATAATGATATTGCCTTTTTCAGCATTTACTCCACATAATTTATTTGTACCGGCTTGGTAAGTGTTATTCTTTTTGGTTCTGCAACTTCCCGAATGTGACTTACGCAGGCGTTCGCTGCATGTTGTGCACGTGTTATCCCCAGAATGGACGGAGCCGCCGGACGTCAGCTGCTCCACGTCGCCCGAGGCTTGGTCGGCAGGCTGCTCCGGGACGTCCTCCGCAGGCTGCACCCCGCTCCCATCTGCCGATAAGACCGGATGAAAATGTGTCACGCTCACGTCAGAGGCAGCTCAGGCACTCTGGTCGCCAATGTAAGGCACCGATCATATAGGACGGTCATGACATTACCCGCACAAGCTTTTAGGGTAAAAAGGAAAACGGAAGTTTGTTTGCATACATTTCTTACATACCTATCCACTTTTGTAACCTGTATCGCGTGGTAATTGGTAACTTGGGAATTAAGAAATTCCAGCTAAGTACAATGATAGTAGGGTAGTACGAAGCTGACACAAAAAGTGCAAGAATGGACAGCCAACTAAGTTCATTTTCATCATTTCTGTAGCCTTGTATCTTTACAACTGTCCTTGCGCTCCGTGTGGAAGTAATGAGAAGTATTGTAGCTTAGTCGAGAACAATATAGAATGATAGCCTTTTACGAGCAACCTAAACGGCTTGCAGTGCGCAGTCCATTGAAACGTCGCCAACGTTTCCGCCCAATATCCTTCGTGATATATCAGCATACCTGTTGGTTGCAAAACTGGCAACTCGTTTTCAAGATAATGTACATACATGTAAGATACAACTCAGTGTAATTGGAATTAGCGCCTGTGGAAATGCAGTGCAGTGCAGTAGCGTCTGCACTGCACTTCCACATAGTGCGGGCGGATAGTTCTGTTGAAGTAGGTACGACTCGGTGTTGTGACTGGCGTCGTTCCGCTGCGCTACTGGTGGCCGCCGCACCGGTCCGCTGACCCGCCGCGCTGCGGAGAGCCACGCCTCTGGCTGCGCGCTGGCCACTGACAGGCCACGCTGCGGAGAGCCGTGCCTCTGGCCGCTGGCCACTGACAGGCCGCGCTGCGGAGAGCCTCGCCTCTGGCCGCGCCTCTGGCCGCGCGCTGGCCACTGACAGGCCACGCTGCTCACCTGCTGAGGCCTCCTCCGACTCGGAGGAGCTCCTGGAGCAGGGCACGCCGTGCAGGCCGGCCAGAACGGCGGCCAGCACCAGCGCCGACAGCAGCCACCTGCTGACCATCGCGGCTCAGAGGACGGGCGGCGACGAGACCGTGCCTGAGCCCGCCGGCGGCCGCGGCCATTTTATACCGGTGGCTCGGCTGATGACGGCTCACTCTGCGTCCGTCAGCGGCCCGCTGACAGCCGTCAGCACCTGTCCGCGCCGCGCCCGGAGACCGCCGCCGCAAACAGGCTGACAGCCTGTTTTCGTCGCCGACCCGAATCAATCACGGCAGAGCTGTTTGCTCGCCCATGTGTCACCGCGCGGTCGTCAAAGTCGGATTGATTTCGGCGTTTACCCGCTCGAAATATTAGGTACTTTAATTCATATCCAAAGACTGTGCTAAGGCTCCAAGCCAGACTTGAATGGTATGAAGCAGTTTGCTGTAGGCGGGGTAAGACGGTCAGGGTTGTACTTACTATAAGACGGGCACCCCCTCTGCAGATCAAACCAATAGCGCTACGAGCGAGAAAAAAAATAGGGCCAGAGCTGCCTTTCCCACCACACAACACCATTGAAGCCTGGTGAATTTGTGTTCAGTCAATTATCTTTTATTTCAATTTCTTAAAAACACTCCTTTCATTGAAAACATCCATAATGTATTGTGCAAACTTTTGTGTGCAGCACAATAGAGTTAAAAGCTCGCATTTACTTGTGGTACACCCATATGCCACCAGTATTCATTTACAGCGGAACTGCTCTGCTGTCAAAATGTCCACAGAGAAAAATCATGCGGAACATCTGACATTGAGTTTGGGGTAAGACGGATCCAATGGGGCGAAAATATTTATGTTGCTGTAGGAAAAAAGAAGCATTTCTGGTGAAAATATGTTCGATTCCAATACTCACAGACCAATACAATATCCTCTAAAAATGAAAATGAATGACGGCTTTACAAGGCTTCTTAACCCGCGAGTTTCTGGGGGGGGGGGGGCATTAAACGCCCCCACTTTTTCGCCGGGCCATAGCATAAAAAATTTTGGGTACCTGTAGATAATTGATTGAAGTTTATTGTGACAAAGTTTCAAAAACATCGGTCGGAAATTTTTTGAGATATCGAGGTTTTAGTGACGTCATGATTTCTGAGTTTTCGACCAAAAAACGGCATATGTTCAAAAAATCATATAAAATCACAGAATAGACATACAGACATGCCGTAAACGCCATTAGACTGCCAATACCATGATCAATCAAATGGCTATCTTCAATTATTGATTATCGTTCCGCATTTTCCAAAATCTTGAACTGAATCTTGGCAATTTTTCGTGACCATGATACATGAATTTCTTAAATTGAACTTTTTGAGCCAAACACGTACACATATGATAAAATGAATGTCACCATCGTGTTCTACGCCCCAAATTACCTATAAAACATGTGTCACAGGCTGCGAATATCAGTTTTGATTTTCGGGGATATGTGCCTACCCGGTTGACCTGACCTTGACCCTGACCTATGCTTGACTGACCCCCATATGGAGCTGACACTCTTGTAGGTCTTATAAGATGGATTGTGCACCGTTTTGACAGAGTTTATGGCGAGAGGCGCCCATTGCGAAGTCCTGAAGTCCATGCTACTGAAAGCCCGATTTCAGGTGTTTGACCTGACCTTGACCCGACCTGTGACCTCAAAATTCAACTTTAAAGTACTCATCTGAAGCGTCTCGTCGCGCTCTTTCGTTTGCCGCCTCGTGCGTTTCGCTGCGCCTATTGGTTCTCGAGTTATCGGCTGGGGGCGTTTAACGCCCCCCCCCCCCCCCCAGCAAACGGTGGGTGGCGAAATACCCCAGCAACTGCCGGGTTAACTAGGACCTATATACAAGCATACGCATTCTGCACGAATCTCGTATAGGTACTGCCTTTTTCGAAGCACTGGAGGCCAACGAGCGAATGCATCAATGCGGCTAATCTCGTGGTAGCTGGCCGTCTTACCCTACCTATGTGGTCGTTTTACCCCATGGGGCGGGGCAAGACTTTTTTTTGCAAGGTTTTGCAAAGATCGCTACAGTTTATTTGTTGCATCAGCTCGAAGTTTCATCTTCTGGCAAATGGAAGTAAAATGTCTAAAAAAAGGGTTTTCACTCAGTTTCGCTATTTTGTTTCCATCCGGCCGAAAAATGACTTCAAGGTTAGGGTACCCGTCTTACCCCACTTTCCCCTAGTCACACTTTACTGCCACACTTTTACGCTAACTGTTATGCATTATGAATATCTTTAACTCTCGTTGCACTATTGTTATAACTCATCCATATCTACACCCTCGCGGTTGGAGTGAGGAAGGTGGAGTGAAGCGCGACACCACTCGGCGGATAGCCCTTGCGGCGTCGCGAGCTGGAGCACTAGCGGCCATCCAGGAAGAGGCGGTCTTAGATGCTGCGGGGGACATACCCCCAAAAAACTTTATCGACTTCTAAAAGCCCGTCGGATTGCGATTCCTTACGCACTCCTGTGCAGTTTCGAACAAACTTTTCCAGATAAAAGTTGTTTTTATTCTTAAAAATGAAAAACGTAAGTTTTCGTCGATTTCAGGCGCTGTGGTGGGGGGGGGGGCAATTGGGTATTTACCCCAAATGCCCCTCCCCCTGGATCCGCCAGTGAGCTAGAGCGACGAGAATGCACGAGAATGCTGGACACTACAATACACAAACGACAAGGTGCCCGGTTTCAAAATATGTGTTAATCACAAGGTAGCCTCTGAGGTCAGATCAACGACTCAAACATGGGTGTCCATTGCAGTTATCAGGCAGGGGCGCAGCCAGGAATTTTTTGAAGGGGGCTAGAATTGGTGAGGGCGCCAATTTTGGCTCAGGAGGGCGCCAATTTCGGGTCAAGAGGGCGCCAATTTCGGCTTAGGAGGACGCCGAGTAAGGACGCCGAGCATCAATGCCGAGTAAGGTTAAGGACGACAAAATGTACACTCGTTTTTCTCTTACATGGTCACGCGACCTTATTCCACTCAAATTACGGTTTATTCTAGGTATTCCAGATGAAAGCTGCCTTTACTGACGTATTTCAAACAGAAGCGAGACGCGGCAGTCTTGCAGGCAAACACAAACGGCAGCGAATGACTGCATTACTGCATTTTAGACCCCATGGCTCAGTTCCTCCGTCCTTCGGCTCAAATTCAGGTCTCAAATTCTGGTGTCAAGCTTCGTCTGGCTAATGGCTTACGGCCGACCCAAAAACATGGGCGTCGCCACCACTACGGACACTACGGACAGTGTCCGTACAAGTTTTAGAAGGCCCCAAAACTTGTACGGAATGTCCGTACAAGTTTCGACGACCGAAAGTGAGCTTTTTGCATCATATTCAAATTACAAATGCCGCTAAAGCATTATCAATATTGCTAGTTTGCTTGAAAGTATTCAGGATGTTTTAGTTTTGAGAAGGAAGGAAGCAGTCTTTATCACGTTTTTTTCGATGCATATCTACCAGCTCAATGACTGGTAGATGCAAATTGACTTTTTCAATTTGCATTTGTAGATTAGGTGCCGATCGATTCCAGGTGATCGCACAGGCTTGAAAGAATTCGCCCTACACTGCGGAGCAGTTGGCAGGGGACCTCCCCCTAGCCCTGACTCTCTCCTTGTTGAGCAGCAAAGGATACGGAAGGGCAAGGTCAGCAGACTGAAACTGACTAGACCGGGTCGTACCGAACTGAACAGAGTAGGGTGGACGATGAGTAGGGAACAGAGTAGTAGGGCAGGGATGTAAAAATCGAACAGGCCGGGGTTGCTAAGGAGAAAGGAGAATGAAGAGTAGGGGGGGGGGGTCGGATGGACCCCCCATGCTTTTCCGCAAATAACTCGCGCAAAAAAGCGGCCGATCGCGACGAAACTTTCAGTACCCTCGAGTTGATCAATTTTACACCTCTGAAATTTTCATGACCCTGACCCAAGTGACCTTCGACCTGTGACATATTTCCGAAATCGCGATTCGTCGTATGTCGGCTCGCATTAGCCGCGCGTTTGAAAGCTTCTTGTGGTTTCAAACGCTCAAACATGAAATTTTATGCTGCTCCCATGAATTTGGGTGGATGTCAAGGTAACCTGAAGCAGGGCTGCGGAGTCGATGGATTTTCGGCGACTCCGACTCCGACTTCGACTCCGACTTCGACTCCGGCTTTCAAAAACCAGCTCCGACTCCGACTCCGACTCCGGGCAGAATTGTCGACTCCGACCGACTCCAACTCCCGACTCCGACTCCGCAGACCTAGCAGGGCTGCGGAGTCGACAGATTTTCGGTGACTCCGACTCCGACTCCGGCTCGGGTTTCTAAAATCGACTCCGACTCCGACTCCGGTCACAACTGTCGACTCCGACCGACTCCGACTCCGACCGACTCCGACTCCGACTCCGACTCCGACTCCGCAGCCCTGACCTGAAGGTCAGGTCAGGTCATTGACCTTTGGTGACCTCGGTTCACTTTTTCGAGCTGTACATGTTTCTAGGCTAGGTTTTGGAGCTGAAATAGAATTTAGCAATCATTTTAACATTTACAAAATAGTTTTGGTGCCTTCGTAACATGTTACGAAGCTGTCAGAGGCGGTTGACATGTACTACGAATACCCGTCACGACGCCTACTGGTTGACCTGACCTGACCTGACCCGACCTGGTCTAAATGCTTCAAGACATCATCTGTGATCAAAACTAACACGATATTCGTGATCAGCACCCCGAAAAACCCCTTAGCAGCCACACTTTACGACTTTCTAACAGGTCCCGATTTTCCCGACTTTGGGTCATTGACCTGACCTGGAAGGTCAACCAATGACCTAGGACCTTAAAATTGGGTATCATCGGCTTCCTCTCGTCACGGGCAACACGCTCGTCTTTTCCGCGAAGCTCTAGCTCGATCAGGGGCCAAACGGCAAGGGGGGCTCCAACTGACCCCTCCCTACACATTAGAAGCTGGCAATCGCCGCACACATGCGAGGGTTTAAGTAAGCCGCAATGACATTTAGACTGCCGGGTTGTATGCATTCCGTCCCATTCGCTTACCTGTTAACCCGCGCCCGGCTGGGGGTCCTGGATTTCCACGCCCTGCTGGGGG